ATAATATTCAAGACGTTGTGTAGAATTGCAGTAAATCAACCATTAAATCATTATGAAGCTGTGTGTATCTGTGGCAGTCAAAAAAAAGGCTTCCACAGGATAAATTGTCATTTTTTTGGAAATTGGTGTCACCCCTTGTGCAGATATCCAGAAATAGTCAAGCATATTAAAACAGAGAAGTTTTTCTGGGGGTGCCCAAAAGAGGAAAAAATGTGGACTAAAAACACAAGGGTATTAAAAAAGGGGAAAAATCAAAAACTGCTTTCATAGAAAACCTGGGGAAATTTCTACAACAGATGGGACATAAAAAGTCTGGGCTGAAGGTACTGCCCCTTTATACTGGGCCCTGTAGTCACAAATGTAAGGTGGAGGGGATGTCCCGGGAGTCAGTAAATGTGGGGGGATATGTGTCGGGGGACAGTAATGGTGAAGGGAGGGTGTCCCGGGAGAAGAAATGGGAACTGGAGATACGTCCTGGGGGACAGTAAAGGTGAAGTGGAGATTTTTTCCAGGTAGCGGGAATTATAGCAGGAAGGGAAAACTTAAATGCTCATAGGGGACAGGAGCCATAGTGGGAAAAAAAGTGTAGTCAAAGATAAGATAAAACCAATATTCAAACTAGAAATACCGCAGGAAATAGCAAACCCAAAAGGGGGTCCATAGCAATGTGAGGTAAATTACAAAAAACTGGTGGGGCTCCCTTTTTGGTGCTGGGAAGATAGAAGTAAGACGGGAAACATCACCAACAGGGAATACAGTCACAAAACCCAAGGGAAGCGGAAACCAAGCCTGTGACATAGTATGCACTTGGATCTGCTGGGATGGGGGAAATCTGGAAAAAAGATGGGGCGTGCAACTATGACCCCCCTAGGAAAATGCCCGCCCATATGACAACAGGAAAATGCAAATCCTTCCTGTAAGCTTTTCACCCCGAAATTGTACCTCTTCGTACAGGAAAGACGTGCTTTTAAATTTAAATGCCAGGCATTCCCCTAAAGGGGGCAAAAAGATACAAAACTCCAGGGCCATGGGAAAAAATGGGTACCACAGCCATAAGAGGGGGGAGGTTTTTAGTGCCAGGAAGGAAAAAAACTGGAGGAAATGGGAGAAATGTACACAAATCCCGTCATTCCCGGGTGGAACCCAGTCGATGGCCTCCCCTCCAAACCAACAGATACAGAACTAAGCCGGAAAAAAAAATCCCCCCCCAGTACCAAAAATCCCCAGTCCCCATAAAAATTTTTCTTTGCAAAATACAGGGGCTAAAAACCAGCAAAAAACAACAAAATACCTTTCATCCGTGGGGCTGCTTGCGAGGCAAAGGCAATGTTCGCGGCTTCCTGGCCCACATAAAAGGGTCACCAATGAAAAAGGACCCCGGTTACAAACCCATACGAGTGACAGAGTGAACAGGCAAAAGGGGGGGGGCCTTTCCCCCCCCGGGCGGTGGGAAAAAAAAAAAAAAAAAGGGGTGTTGCCTGTACAAAGCAATTCCAAAAAAATTTTTTAAAAAGACCCGCTAAATTTGCCCTCCCCCAAATTTTTCCCCCGGGGGGTTTTTTAAGGGATAAAAGGGGAAAACCAAATTATTGTTTTTAATCACCAAGCCTCGATGAAAACTCCCCATCCAAAAATTTTAAAATTGACAAAATTTTAATTTCCCGCTTGACCACTGACCCGGGAAAAAAAACTAGCCAAACCTTAAAATGGAAAAAAATGAATATAAAAAAATATATTGTTCCAAAAAAAATTACACAGGAGGAGCCCCGAGAAAAAATACATCCAGGGGGCTTCAAATTTCAATTCAAAAAAAAACCAAAAGGGGCCAAAAAAAATTTAACCTATAGCTGGAAAAATTAACAAAAAGACCCAAATTTCCTAAACAAAAGTGGATCTGTAGAAATATTCCTTAAAAAAAAATAGATTAAAATAAAAAAAAAAAGGGTCCCCTTAAGGGGAGGAAAAAAAGACGGCAAAAGAGGATAATAAACGAGGGGAAGGTTTAAAAATCAACTCAATTTAACAAAAAACCTTTAGGGCAGAAACCAAGCAAAGTATAAAATGAAATCGAAAGAAAACCCAAAAATTTTTTCCTACCCAATAAAAACGGCAAAGAGTATGGGCCCCCCTTTAAAAAAGAGGGTTAAAATGAAAAAATGAGGAGACAGCCCCTTGACCGTTTAAAAAGTAACCCGACGGGCAAGTCAAAAAAATTTTTTATGAGGAGCCCAAAAAGATTTAAAAATAGGCAAAAAAGATTTGAACAGGGGATAAAAGATCCTTTAGGGCCCGATCGGGGAAAAAAGGTTATAAGAATGAAGAACCCCCCAAGAGCCTTTTTTCCATGGAAACATGGACACGGGGTGCCCCTTTTCTAAAAAAAACCCAAATGCCCCCTACAAAGGGGGAAAAGCACCAAAAAACAAGACCATACATAACCCCCAACTAAAATCGAAAGGGGCTAAAAGAAGAACCACCCATTAAAACCCATCAGTTTCCACCCCCAAAAAAGGGTTTTTAAAAGGCGTTTGCTCAATTGGATCCCCCAAAGGCCAAAATCATGGAAAAAAAATCGTGTTTAAAACAGACTTTTCAAAGCCTTTACGGTCCATCTAAAAGGAAAAGGGAAAGGAAAACGGGGGTCGTTTCTAAATTTTACAAAAACACAGAATAGCCAAAAAAAGGGGAGCAGGGGAAAGCCTGCCAAACACAGAACCCCCAAAGCCATCCCATATCCATAAAAATTTTAAAAGGGTTTTTTCCCGAGAGACACCAAACTAGAACCCCCTTCAGAAATAACTCCAGGGGCCCAACAAATTTTTGGGGGAAAACTTGGTTCAAGATGGAAATTTTAATTTTCCGAAAGGTCCTAAATTAAAATTAAAGACAAAAAAATTTGGAAATAACAAAAAACCCAAAAAGCCTGGGAGTTTTAATGCGTCGGAATTACCCGGGCAAATTGCCGCTTCAGAAAAAGCGGAAGGATAAAAAACCCTTCAAAAAGGGGCCAACCCCGATGAAAGGGCCAGCACTAGGTGGGAAACCACTTAAAGCCCTTTTCCCAAAAGCCACCAGTTTCAGGAATTTTTCCCCCCATAACGGGGAAAAAAAATCAAACGGGGGGGCTTTTTTCAAAATGAACCCGGAACGCAGAAGGTCTATTTAAACACTGGGAAATCCAGGGGAATCCAACTTCACAAAAATCACTTCATCGAAAAAAAGATTCAACGTGAAAACCCCCCAAAAAAAGGGGGTTACTAGATTAAAATCTAATTCAGGGGAGACCAAATCCCCCGCACAATAAGGGGGAAAACACCCCCAACTTAAAGCTGGGAAAGAATAAAGTCGTTCCGATCAGCCCTTGGCCTAAAATTGGGTTTTTTCAGAAAAAAATGGACAGGGTGATAAAGGCCTTCAAAACGGGGGGGGCAGCCCCAAAAAATTTTCCCCAAAAAAGGTCCCCCTTTTTTTATTAATTTAAAATTTTCCCCCCAAAAATTTTTTTACCTTTTCCAAGCCCCGGGAAAATTGCGAAAGAAAGAAAGGAAAAAAATTTCACCGCTTAAAAAAGAAATAAAAAATTTTTAAATTAAATGGAAATGTAAAGTTTGACAGTTTTTCAAATCTAGGTTCACGCAAAAATTCTCTGATATGAACGTAAGTCATAGTCACAATACTTTTTATGCCTGTTATCCATTCAGTTACAAAACAAATAGAACACTGAGCCAAGTTATATTCAATATACAGATGAATGAGACTCACAAGCTCTCAGATCCCAGATAAGCCAAACCCCCTTCTTTACATTCTCTCTGGTACAATACAAAGATAACAAGAGGGTCACATATGGTGTACCAAATCACTGCCAGTTTAAAAATCATACAAAGAACCCTTGTTAAAAGTGCAAACATAATAGGAAAGTGGGCAAAATGAGCATGGATTAAAATTAATACTTCATCTTGTGTTAAGTCTTCTTTATTGATAAGAGTGATAAGCCATCTTCCCACATCCTGCCTTGCTGGTATCTGATCTGCCCACTCAAGTGGGCTTTGAAATGCTCTGGTCAAGATGTGACCCTTACCATATCCTAACCATCTTAATGCCTGCGAGCATACATAGCTGGTATGCATGACAAGTATGCATATTACTGACACATGTCAGATTAATAAATGAATAAAAAATGAAACTGTTAATAAATTTATGTTGGAGTGCTAGCATGACCTGAGAATTTTTGCAGAGTATTGTTGAGTACTCCTCCAGAAGATGACATTGTATGAGGCTGGTGTAACTAATACATAGAACATAGAATTTCATGATGTACTGTTACCAGCAACATACAGGGAAGATAAGAGCCAGATGCATGATTGTGGGTTAAAGAAAACATCTTGTCAGTCCATAATGCAGATGAACAATTCTGCCAGCAAGAGCTCACGATTGGAAATGTCGAAGCATCAAAAGTCCGTAAGTTCATTATATACCTGAACTCTTACATGACAAGGGACCTAACGAGATACAACCTTTAATAGTGTAAAGAATGCATCTTTGAACTTAGAGGATGAGATATTAGGAATCAATGGTTTTAATTATTTACAACACACACTAGGAGTAAGACAAATCAATCATTCAAAATTATGAAAGTCAGGAGATGGGAGAAAACTACAGGATGCATTACATATGGGAAGATAAAACACCATAAAAGAATATAGACTTGGATGGAGTTAAAGCAAGTGATAGGGAAAAAGATATAAAATGCAAAAAGGAAAGACGTGAAGGTCCATAATTTTTCATAATTCAGGCAACCCCAGACATGTATTATTATACTTCACATTGACACATCATACCTACCAAAGTGGTTATCCTCTTACCTCCTGGGCTAGCTTATAAATGCAACAAACCTGAATACTGATTATTACCTTCACCACAACAGAGTAAAAGCATCTCATATTAATGTAAAAATTTATTAATTTTTTTAAGCAACTCTAATTAAACAAAAATTAGCTTACTTTCACAATTTTTAAGGGTGATGGCATCACCATAAAATCCAGGAGAGCACCGTTCACAGGAATTGCCATAAGTGTTGTTGAGGCAAATCAAACACCGTCCAGTGATGTCATCACAGGCGTAGGCATCATTGATATCTATGTTGTCATTACATTCACATGGCTCACACTTGTCACCTGTAAAGAAGCCAAGTAATGATGAGAGTATTCATGGTTACAAGATTTAATGGCACAAAGAAACAAAGTAGTGATGGTGTGTTCAAGGTTATAACTCTTTATGGCATAAAAGAGCCAAGTAATGATGAATGTATTCATGGTTACAACATTTAATGGCATAAAGAAGCCAAATAATGATGAGTGTATTCATACACACAGTAATCAAAGCTTATGTTAATTAAATATGTTCCACAGCACAGATGTGATAGTTTTTAAGTACATACATTAGAGTCAAATTTATTCATTCATGTCCATACCTAAAACTTCTGGCTGACCATAATAGCCTGCAGCACAGCGCTCGCAACGGTCACCAATATAGCCCTCATGACAGTCACATCTAATGGAGAAAGCATCATCCACAAAGTCGCAGCTGACTGCAAAACTGAAAAAAAGGAGACAATATTATATTCTATTACAGTGGCTGACACAATTAATTTTTTTTCTTTCTTTTTGGGTTACCCTACCTCGATGGGAAACGGCCGATGTGTTAAAAGAAAAAATTACTTCATTATAGATCACAGGTAAAACAGTCTAATCACATTTACAAAAGGAAAGAAAATGGACTAAGTGAAATTGGTATACCATATATTCTTAGGTATAAAAAAATAAATACAGTAGTTAACAAGGAGAATGTATACTAAGAAACAGATATGACAATGTCACGAGACTGCTCAATGGAGGTACAGTAGACCCTCATATTACACGGTAGTTACGCTCCTGAAAATGCCATGTTAGATAAAAGTCCGTGTTATATAAACTGAAGAACTTATGGAAAAAACTGGGTTATGTTCCAGTGTCCCCCCAAAAGCCAAACAACTTGTTTTAGACATCCAGATCTTACAAAAATAAAAATGATAATGTTGTTTTTGTTGCTTAAGACTACAAATGCAACAGAAATAATATTATTTGCCTTAAATTGTGGTTGCTGGTGTATATCAGTGATTGTGAAGAGAGTGGAGATACATGGTGTGGCTCAACTGGGCTGAGGTGGATGGTTGTTGGTGGTCAGCAGAAGTGGATGGTTGACATTCTGGTACTAAAGCCGATGGCTGTATTGGAGTGTGCATAAATTCTGTAATGGATCTCTGGCTTCTTTTACCCTTCAGTACATTATGCATTATTCCAAAAGCTTGGTACTGCTAGGTTGGAGTCAGAGTCCATTGATGCAATTAGCTTTTTCATCACTTTCCTTGTGCAGTTACACCTGAATGACTTAACTCCCCAATACAGTGGTTGCATTAAAGAAGTTGTATTTGGAGATAAAAATACAACTTTTACATGTGGGGTTATATCCAGCAAAACTTCTGGATGAGTACAGGAATTATCAAGAATTAAGAGAGCCTTGACTGCAGGTAAAACTTGACTTCAGGAATAAAATGATGCTTAAACCAGTCAGTAAATATTTGCTTTATCATCCATGCTGACTGGTTTGTCCACCAAATTACTAGTAAGGTGTTTTTATATACACCTTTCAAAGCACGAGGATTCTTAGAGCAGTAAATAACCACAAGCTATCACTTGAAATCACCTGATGCATTACTGCAAAGGAGCAAGGTGAAGTGATTCTTTGCAGCCTCATGGAGACAGTGGTCTCACCCACAGCCAGGCGGTGGTCTGAACCAGGGAAATATCCCATGGGCAATGCTCCAAATTTTTTTCCCTCCGCAAACCGAACTGTGTGAAGTTAATTTTACGAAGTGTATAAAATTGTGCCGCAATTTTTCAATAGTGTAATAACCAAAACGTGCAAAATAAATCTGTGTAACATGACAGTCTACTGCACTTCTGGTCTCATATCCCAGTACAGTGTAGGCTACACTACGTCACTTGTCTCTCCCAGAATATTGTAGGCTACAATAACTCACCTGTCTCTCTGAGAACAGTGTAGGCTACAATACCTCACCAGTCTCCTATCCCAGTTCTACACCATGAGCTCAGCTCACTCAGATAATCTGTGAACGGTAAATCTGTGCCTAGATAAGAGAGAATGCATCTTTGTGGTAAGTGTGCACCACATAAAAAAAAATCTTGCAGTACATGAGAAAAAAAAACTGCGACCGTGTTTTCAGACTAAAACAGCGAATTTGTGGAATTCATCTGTAAAGCCTGGAAACATAACTAATAAACAGAGGAAATGTTATTTTAGTGCCAGAAATGCCTGCACTGTTTATTCTGAACACTATTTTGAAAGTAGAATGTTTTGACCTTTGTGTGAAATTGACCAAATAACCAATTCTCATCACTTTATTGGGTAGTTGAAATAGTTGATTGAGTGGTTTCTAGTGCTCATGATAAAATAGAAGGGATACTAGCAAAATAGCTAAGATCTGGTTGATTAGAACAATGTAACTGGCTTAAAATAGGAGTCAAAGTGGGCAAAATTGCCGATGCGTACATATCGCTGATGCAGCAAAATTTGCGAAAGCCTAATTTCACCAATTTTCCATCAAATTTCGTACTTTTGTTTTATTACCTTCAGAAAAAGATTCCCTACCATTTCATAAGAAAAAATAATTTTTTTTTTAAATTCTTGGACCCTGAAGTTTCAGATCAGGGGTCTGAACTCTAAAAGGGTTAAGAATACAATAGTTATACAGTGGACCCCCACATACCGTTGGCATCACATAACGTTAAATCCACATACCGATACATTTTATCGCTAAGATTTTGCCTCGCAGTCTGCTAAAAAACCCGCTCAACACTATTTGTCCGAGACGCGTCTAATATGCGGCCTGAGCCAGCCTCACATGTTCCGCCGGTGGCATTGTTTACAAGCCAGCCTCCACGGTAACGCCCAAGCATACAATCGGAACATTTCGTATTATTACAGTGTTTTTGGTGATTTTATCTGCAAAATAAGTGACCATGGGCCCCAAGAAAGCTTCTAGTGCCAACCCTGTGGTAAAAAGGGTGAGAAATATTATCGAAATACTGTGGTACCATGGTCAACTGCTGCTGCTGCTGCTGCTGTAGCACTGTCAGCTGCTGCTGCTGCTGTAGCACCATCAGCTGCTGCTGCTGCTGTACCACCATCAGCTGCTGCTGCTGCTGTAGTACCATCTGCGCTGTGCGCTGCGTGTAGTACCGTCTGCTGCTGCTGTAGCATCGTCTGCTGCTGCTGTAGCACTGTCAGCTGCTGCTGCTGCTGTAGCACCGTCAGCTGCTGCTGCTGCTGTACACCGTCAGCTGCTGCTCTGCTTGTAACCGCTCTGCTCAGCTGCTGCTGCTGCTGTAGACGTCGCTGCTGCTGCTGCTGTAGTACCGTACTGCTTCTGCTGTACATCAGTCTGCTGCTGCTGTTAGCATAGTCAGCTGCTGCTGCATCTGCTGGCGTAGCACTGTCAGCTGCTGCTGCTGCTGTAGCACCGTCAGCTGCTGCTACTGCTGTACCACCGTCAGCTGCTGCTGCTGTTGTAGTACCGTCTGCTGCTGCTGTAGCATTGTCTGCTGCTGCTGTTAGCACTGTCAGCTGCTGCTGCTGCTGTAGCACCGTCAGCTGCTGCTGTGCTGTACCACCGTCAGCTGCTGCTGCTGCACTGTCAGTCTGCTGCTGCTGTGTAGCACTGTCAGCTGCTGCTGCTGCTGTACCACCATCACTGCTGCTTACCACCGTCAGCTGCTGCTGCTGCTGTAGACCGTCATGCTGCTTGCTGTACCACCGTCAGCTGCTGCTGCTGCTGTAGTACTGTCTGCTGCTGCTTGTAGCATCGTCTGCTGCTGCTGTAGCACTGTCAGCTGCTGCTGCTGCTGTAGCACCGTCAGCTGCTGCTACTGCTGTACCACCGTCAGCTGCTGCTGCTGTTATAGTACCGTCTGCTGCTGCTGTTATAGTACCGTCTGCTGCTGCTGTAGCATTGTCTGCTGCTGCTGTAGCACTGTCGCTGCTGCTGCTGCTTGCACTGTCAGCTGCTGCTGCATGTAGCACTGTCAGCTGCTGCTGCTGCTGTACCACCATCAGCTGCTGCTGCTGCTGTAGCACTGTCAGCTGCTGCTGCTGCTGTAGCACCGTTGTTGATGTGGCTTATTGAGAATACAAAGAAACAATTAACCCCAGAGGGTTAGCCACCCAGGATAACCCAAAAAAGTCAGTGTCATCGAAGACTGTCTAACTTGTTTCCATTGGGGTCCTTAATCTTGTCTCCCAGGATGCAACCCAAACCAGTCGACTAACACCAGGTGATTTAAAGCCAGCAAAGGTTGGTTTGAGAGATTTAAGAATCTAGTGGATAACAGTGTGATAAGGCCTGATCTGGAAGAAAATGCCAAACAGGACCTACAGTACTCAGAGGAAAAGGCACTCCCAGGACACAGTGTCTCATCAGTCATTGCTGCATCTTCAATAAAGGTAAGTGTCATTTATTCTTCATTTAGTAGAGTAGTACATGCACAATATATACTGTGCATGTACTACTCTACTATTGTGCATGTATCCTTCTCTTTGTGTTTAGGAAAATGTATATTTCATGTGGTAAAAATTTTTTTTTCAAACTTTTGGGTGTCTTGCACGGATTAATTTGATTTCCATTATTTCTTATGGGGAAAATTCACATAATGATAATTTCGCATAACAATGAGCTCTCATGAATGGATTAATATCATTATGCGGGGGTCCACTGTAATGTATTTGAATTGTGATGTCTACACCTCTCTGGCATGACAGCTACTGAATGAATAATGGTGAATATATTTCCTTTCTTGGGTCACCCTACCTTGGTGAGAAATGGTAGGTGTTAAAAAAAATATGAGTAAACCCTCGATATAATGAAATTTTGAAATAATGGGGACAATCTGCTGTGTAAATTGTACTTTCAACTCGTTTATTTTCCATATTTATTTCTGTATATGTATCTGTAAAGTGTGTGCTACAGTATTATGTAAAAAGTATACAGGAGAGTATTTTAGTGCTTATTTTGCTATTTTTAACACTCTGGTTTAACAAACTCAGATAACCCCCCTATTAATCTGTTATAACTGGGGTTTACTGTATTTATTCCCCTAACCAGTTTATTCTAATATGACTCACGAAATCGTAATGACACGATTGCAAACAAACCATACCCCGGCCGGGATTGAACCCACGGCAGTGAAGGGACTTGAGCTAGAGTTCGTCAAGGCCACGCTAGCTGGAGATTCATCTGTAAAAACTTGCATTTGTGGTCACAGTAGTGCCTGTGCTAACCTTCCTAAAGTGTAGAAATATACCTAGTTGGACGAATCTTATTGTGGCTAGCTGGTCTAGTGGCTAACGCGATGGGCTGGAGTTTTGAGACTCTCTGACCGTGGGTTCAATCCCGGCCGGGGTAAGGTTTATTCTAATAGATTGTTTGTACATGTAGATGAGACTTGCAGACAGAGAAGCTTCCTCATACTTACTTGTTAGTAATGGATGGCATTGGGCAGGCACAGATAAGACAGTCATAGGGAGTACCTTGTGTGGCACGCCCATGGTACCCTGAAGCACACATCTCACAATGGTCACCAACTGTATTATGCTGGCAGTTCTGCAATTATAAAAAACAAATCAAAAAGCCTACGAATACATGCCAATAATGCACACAAGTTTAAGTAATCAATAAGTTTATTTAGAACTTTCTACAAAAAGCTTTCACAACTATCTTGTTTTTCTGCAACACCAGCATTTTCCCTCCAAGACTGGGTGACCTAACACAAAAAAAACATTCACCCTCATTCATTCAATATCTATTTTGCCACAAGTCTGAGGACACCCACAACCCCCCTTCAGAGTGCAGACACTGTAGTTCTTACACCCAGAGCTCCAAACCCAGCTAACTGGATTCACTATTTCTTTTTTTTTTAACAAGTCGACCGTCTCCAACCGAGGCAGGGTGACCCAAAAAGAAAGAAAATCCCCAAAAAGAAAATGCTTTCATCATCATTCAACACTTTCACCTCACTCACACATAATCACTGTTTTTGCAGGGGTGCTCAGAACACAACAGCTTAGAAGTATATACGTATAAAGATACACAACATATCCCTCCAAACTGCTAATATCCCGAACCCCTCCTTTAGAGTGCAGGCATTGTACTTCCCATTTCCAGGACTAAAGTCCAGCTATATAAAAATAACCAGTTTCCCTGAATCCCTTCACTAAATATTACTCTGCTTACACTCCAACAGATCGTCAGGTCCCAAATACCATTTGTCTCCATTCACTCCTATCGAACACGCTCATGCACGCCTGCTGGAAGTCCAAGCCCCTCGCCCACAAAACCTCCCTTACCCCTTCCTTCCAACCTTTTCGAGGACGACCCCTAACCCGCCTTCCTTCCCCTATAGATTTATACGCTCTCCATGTCATTCTACTTTGATCCATTCTCTCTAAATGACCAAACCACCTCAACAACCCCTCTTCAGCCCTCTGACTACTACTTTTATTAACTCCACACCTTCTCCTAATTTCCACATTCCGAATTTTCTGCATAATATTTACACCACACACTGCCCTTAGACAGGATATCTCCACTGCCTCCAACCGCCTCCTCGCTGCTGCATTTACAACCCAAGCTTCACACCCATATAAGAGTATTGGTACTACTATACTTTCATACATTCCCTTCTTTGCCTCCATAGACAGCATTTTTTGTCTCCACATATACCTCAATGCACCACTCACCTTTTTTCCCTCATCAATTCTATGATTAACTTCATCCTTCATAAATCCATCCGCCGACACGTCAACTCCCAAGTATCTGAAAACATTCACTTCTTCCATACTCCTCCTCCCCAATGTGATATGCAATTTTTCTTTATCTAAATCATTTATCATCTAAATCATTTATCATTTATCTAAATCATTTATCATTTATCTAAATCATTTATCATTTATCTAAATCATTTATCTAAATCATTTCACTAAATCTCTTCATAAATGTTATCTTGCTCACTCTCTAACAGCACACCAAATCCTAGAAATAATAAGTCTCCACTCACTCTGATCTAACAGTGTTAAACAAAATTCAAAAGAACATACAATAAAGTTGAGATTTTCAGAAAGGAAGATAAACAGAGTAGGTGTGTCAGGGTGTTGAATTAAAAATAAAAAACAAAGTATGTGTGTTCTGTGATGACAGAGATAATCTATCAACATGTAAGAAAAAGAAAGCCTGGTAATTCACGGAGAAGTGCTATGTGCTTTTCAATGAGATGATCATGTTAAAGTCTGGGGAGACCAATATGCAGCTGCAAGAATACCATTATCCACACTCAAAAATAATGAAGGAAATGATGATCAGAAGCAAGTTTGCAATTTTGGGTCACCCTGCCTTGGTGGGAGACTGCCAGTGTGTTAAAAAGAAAAAAGGCTGAACCTATTGGATATATCATTTTCAGCTACTAGGAGGAAAAGAAGAGACTTGTTACCACATTCAAGATTACAAAAAGATGCAAAACATTGAAAAAGAAAACATTCAGACCTATCAACTGACACAAGAGACAATAATTATAATGTAAAGTTACCAAAAGGACTCTATAATTTTTTTCACAGAAAGATACAGTAAACCTAGAAAGCAGTAAACCCATGAGGATCATATAGCACCTTAAGACTGGGAGGGATGCAAATTAATCAGGTATGAGTAAAGGCAGGGAAGAGTAGTTCTGATTCCCTGAATCAAGAGCCCTTCACCTGAAGCAAGGTAGTCCTTGGAGGGTGCTATAACCTCTGGGAACCTTAAAACACTTTATGACTAAATAATACCAAGGATGAGACACTAACAAGCTAAGCTCTGCATCTGTAATAACAAAGAGGTATGGTTTTACTGCTCTATCATACAGAGCTGAATAATATATACAAGTACACTCTATGGATAAACTAGATTTTTTTTTTTTAACACACCGGTCATCTCCCAACGAGGTAGGGTGACCCTAAAAAGAAGAAACACTTTCACCACTGCTCACTCCACATATGGGAAAATACAGAGTACAGTATATACATTTCCATGTGTATAGCATATTCATGAGAAGTTGAAACTAGTGCCAGTTCAATATGGAGGAAGGAAAAACTAAATAACTTTGCTGGCTGATAAGAAGAGACAAGAAGACACAATATTGACCTAAGAACGGAAAATAATTGAAAAATCAATAGTATATGCATTTCTTATTTGTGCCGCTCCATCATGACATCACCAACATACATAATACCTTCCAGCACCTCAAGCTGTCCCCTCTTGAGAGGGTAGGTATGAGGGTGCAATCAGTCCTGTGACATTTTATGATGAAGACTTAGTGCACCAGGAATTACTTCTGCAAGGTCAGACCTTTTTTGCAAGATCACAGCTTAATTGAATGCAACAAAATGATTGCATGCTAAACCTTGCAAAACATTTTCATGTTCCAACAAAGTCTCAACATGAAATACATTACGTCACAGCAGTGACTGTACTCTATCTATACAATCACAGAGAGATTCTTCAACACACTAAGGAGCAGGCCCTTCACAGGTGAACATGTAGGCAAAAGACTTAATCCAAGAAATTGGAGCCTCCATGCTCTTCCTTGGATTAAGCCTGAACAGTCTTCAATTACCTTGGTGCTGTATGACCCCTATAAGTTTAGCAATTCCCCATGAATATAATATCCTGTTTAAGTGGATAGGTAGAGAACAAAATATTCTACAGCACTTGCTGGATGGGGCTGGCTACAAAGGTACTAAACAAAGCAGTCACATGATGATCTATACTTTTTCAACCTCTAGTCCTCACACAATAAAATCAATCTAATCTTACCTATAATATATAGGAAACTTGCTATCTGTGAAAATATCTTTAGTATAACAATATGTTCTTAGGACTATTAATACAATGACCAAAGTACTATACTTAGTTTTAAACAAAAATAAGGTATTCTTTTAGCATGCTTTAATTATACAAAACACAAATTTCTATAATGAAACACTATTCACATCACTCAAGTAACAACATTTTTCTATCACACAGAACAGAAAATTCTTTATATAAACAAAGACATACCAAGCATTTTCCTGTTTGTTTATCACATGTGTCAGCATGACCATTGCACTGACAAGGAACACAGTAACCACCATATGGTCCACGCTGGGCACGGTAATAACCTTGGGCACAATCCTCACACGATAAACCTGAAGTATAATGAATTAAATTTTTTTAGTTCAAACCTTAATCCACGCATCATAAAAATGCACCTATCTTTCATAGCTGGTTGCTCCATGGAATCCTCTATTAACTGTAAGGTGTCCCTTGTCTTGGGTCATCCCTAGATATTTTATCCATTTTTGGCACTTTAAAATTTTAAAGGAGTAAAGTAATAAATATCTCTATACTTATAGCTTTAACTCACCTGAAATTCTATGATTAAACCTGTTTGCAGCTACAGCAGCAGAGCCTTGCTCGTAGTATCCCACCTTCAGTGCTAATCATATATGTACTCTAGTTTTATCAAGTTTCTTCTTTGATCCCAATAATCTACCACTATTTTAAAAGAAATACAGTGGACCCCCGGTTAATGATATTTTTTCATTCCAGAAGTATGTTCAGGTGCCAGTACTGACCGAATTTGTTCCCATAAGGAATATTGTGAAGTAGATTAGTCCATTTCAGACCCCCAAACATACATGTACAAACGCACTTTCATAAATACACTTACATAATTGGTCGCATTGGGAGGTGATCGTTTAGCAGGGGTCCACTGTATTTTACAGATTTCTTTGGCATCTGTATCTTAATTTACAACTGTGGCTTCTTGTGTTGATAAGTAATATGGCACAAAGATACTATATATGGGGAAGCTTTTATTGGTTATCAAGTACGTACACAAAAACGTGGGAACAATGCATCCTGCCAGCATTTCCATCCTAATTCTTCATAAAAATATATATATTTATGGGTAAAAATAATCCATGAAAAATATAATTCATACTTAAGAATATAATAATAGGTGCCTCAGTGTTGGAAGAATAGATCAGTTATCATAAGTAAGTAGTTGGTTGCAAAATGCCAGTGTCATAACTGTGAAACCATATAAGCCAGGGCCCTACTGTACCACATATAATATACAATATTATATGTATCACATTCTACAACATACCTCACTAACATTCTCACAGTACTGATGATTCAAGACCTAATTTAGAAGAAAAATATTTCCAAGGTGGTCTTCCTTAACATACCTTCATAATTAACCGGACACTGGCATCGTTCCACAGAAAGTGCCTGACGTGAGCTAGATCCAGGCCAATCAGTAGTTGGTATATCAATGCTGGTATTAAACAACCTGCACAGAGAGTTTTTCGTGTTAGTAACATGATCATTCTGTCTGCTTAAAATTATATTTTTATATCAAACTCTTTAAATTAAAATACTGTGTATAGAAAATAAAAAAAAAAAGCTGTCTATATTAAATAGGAGGAAAAGAAATAGATTAGCTTAGACAACTAACTAGACTAACTAATTTATTAACTTTCTTCAGTAAAGCTTTTGAGGCTGCTGACCACGATAAAGAATTTGATATTATTTACTTAGATTTTAGTAAGGCTTTTGATAGAGTTCCACACCATAGACTGTTAAAGAAAGTGGTAGCTCATGGCATTGGGGGAAAAGTGCTCTCGTGGATCGAGTCATGGCTAACTGACAGGAAGCAGAGAGTGTCCATAAATGGGGTTAAATCTGAGTGGGGATCTGTAACAAGTGGCGTTCCACAGGGATCAGTCTTGGGCCCGTTGTTGTTTATAATATATATCAATGATCTTGATGAGGGAATTACTAGTGATATGAGCAAATTCGCCGATGACACAAAGATAGGTAGGATAATTAATTCAAACGTAGATGTTATGGAACTTCAGGAGGATTTAAACAAACTCTATTCTTGGTCAGAAAAGTGGCAGATGCAGTTCAATGTAGATAAATGCAAGGTTCTGAAGCTTGGGAGTGCCCATAACCCTAGTACTTGTAAGTTAAATGATGTAGAACTTAGCCATACAGATTGCGAAAAGGACTTGGGGGTTATGGTGAGCAGCAACCTTAAACCAAGACAGCAGTGCCTAAGCGTACGTAATAAGGCAAATAGATTACTGGGATTTATATCAAGAAGTGTAAGCAACAGAAGTCCAGAGGTCATACTGCAGTTTTATACATCATTAGTAAGGCCTCACCTAGATTATGCAGCTCAGTTCTGGTCTCCGTATTACAGAATGGACATAAATTCGTCAGAAACATTCAGCATAGGATGACTAAATTAATACATAGCATTAGAAATCTTCCTTATGAAGAAAGATTGAAGACTCTTAAGTTACATTCACTTGTTAGACGAAGAATGAGGGGAGACCTGATCGAAGTGTATAAGTGGAAGATAGGTATTAATAAAGAGGATATTAATAAGGTCTTGAGGATGTCTCTCCAAGAGAGAACCCGCAGTAATGGATTTAAATTAAATAAGTTTAGATTTAGAAAGGACATAGGAAAGTATTGGTTTGGAAATAGGGTAGTTGATGAGTGGAACAGTCTACCTAGTTGGGTTATTAAGGCTGGGACTTTGGGTAGTTTCAAATTTAGGTTGGATAAGTACATGAGTGGGAAGGGTTGGATTTGAGTGGGACTTTCACATCAGAGCTTATTTCTTGGGTGGCATTGAAAACTGGGTTGGGCAAATGTTTTGTTAGTGGGATGAATTGTAAAGGACTTGCCTAGTATGGGCCAACAGGCCTCCTGCAGTGTTCCTCCTTTCTTATGTTCTTATGTTGACAAAATAATAATTTCTGGTCACTGTTCACAATTATATAACAAACAGAAAGTGAACTAGATGTTCCAGTGATCATTTGTGACTCCATAATGCTCCAGAACAGACTAGAATGTAATTTGGCTTATGTTCAATTTGTAGGTTAGCTGAGAACAATTCCAGCACCAGTATTGTAGGCTATACGGGGGTTCACCCTGATATTTTGTGAAGGGATTCAGGGAAACTGGTTAGCTGGACTTGAGTCCTGGAGGTGATAAATACACTGCCTGCACTCTACAGGAGGGGATTCAGATATTTGCTGTTTGGAGTGACAGCTAATCTGTTGTATTTATGTGCTTCTGACAAAACAGTGATAGTGTGAATGATGGTGAAATTGTTTCTTTTTTTTTGGGGGGGAGTCTCCCTGCCTCGGTGGGAGACGGCCAGTGTGAAAAAAAAAAAATGGTTCATACCTAAGAACATTAATTTCCCATTGCTCAACAGATTCCACACCCAAGAGACAGAGCTCATCCCCCACCCCCTGCAAATTAAAAATGGAATATATATATCCTAGTGCCTACATTATGTGCTATTATACATGAGTTACCTTCAGTCTATATAAGAAATTCTCAAAATGAGTGCAGCAGCCCCCATGGGTCCCATGAGCAGGTTTCTATAGAAAATGCAAGTTGCCTGCATTGAGACAACAGTTATATTGTCCTTTCTTTCTTAACACACTGGCCGTCTCCCACCAAGGCAGGGTGACCCTCCCCTCAAAAAAAAAAAAAAAAAAAAAAAAAAAAAAAAAAAAAAAAAAAAAAAAAAAAATCACCATCATTCACACTATCAGTCTTGCCAGAGGCACATAGATACAACAGTTTAGATGTCACTCCAAACAGCATATATCCTGTAGATGAATGGTTCAGAGAACTGACGTGTTGACAAATTAGACACACGTGCAACACTTGGCGAAATGTTTCCTCAATAAAGATACCCTAGTGTTGCACATGTGTCTAATTCATCAGCAAATATCCCAAACCCCTCCTTTAGAGTGCAGGCATTGTACTTCCCACCTCCAGGACTTAAGTCTGGCTAACCAGTTTCCCTGAATCCCTTCACAAAATATTACCTTGCTCATACTCCAACAGCTCATCAGGTCAAAAATGCCATTTGCCTCCGAATAAGGACAAATAAAAATAAATTAATAAAATCCTCAACATTATTTGCATTCTGGTAAAAATGACAGAGTTACAACAATCAAATCCTCAAGTCGGTGGTTTCTGAGCAAATTTGACTGTGAAGTGCATGGTTAAAGAAATAGCCATTTTTAGTTGGAACACCAGGCATATATATTTGACCATTCTCAAGGCCCACTCATACGTCTCAGAGCATTTCTATCTTGACTCACAAAGGAGAAACAAATTCTTAAGACAATTTAAAGACTTACCTGGCTTCAATTGAATTACTCCAGTAATTTGCTCGAATGAAAATGCCATCAAGTGAATAGAGAAGTGTCATAAACTGTTCTCGCTGAAGCGGTAGTCCTTAAAGCAAAAATTAAATAAATTAATAGTTGTATAAAATAATAAACAACAAAATAATAAATTTAAAAACAAAAATAAATGAAAAAAGAATAAAATTAATTAAAATACAATCAAAATAAAATGAATCATATAGAATCTGCAGAGTACTGGGGTATACAGCACAAGCACACAACTCAGATCTCAACCATATAAGAAGTTTGATTAAGACTGGATACACAGACACCATACTAGTCCATAAACTAAAAAAAATTAACCCTGGGAAAACATTCTGAGGAGACATGGTTATAGCATACATGATACTCAATGGTACTGAACTGAGAAATATACCCTTCATATAACTTTGATGGATTTCTAGAGTTTTTCTACTCTCATAGCCTGACCCTGGGCCAGGCATGTCTGGTGCTTTCCTGGTCAACCAGGCTGTTGCTGCTGGCAGTCCACTGACACTGCAGATGCATTGTCTTGAAGACTTCTACACTTGTTCTAGCAGTATTTCTCATACCTTCTAGTCAGATGTTCAAGTCTGAGACCATAAATGTTGATAGAATTTCCTCTGATTGTGCCCATGTGTTCCTGCCTTATATTGGATTTATTCTACTTTCTCCCTTATCTCTCAATCCAATATGCTCACCTATATATACTCGTCTATATATGTTTGCAGGGGTTGAGTTTTAGCTCCTGGCCCTACCTCTCAACTTGCCATTTGCCAGATTCACACTATCTCCTAGCCTCAAGAGACCTAAAGTACCTATTCTTAAAACTATGTATGAAGTCTGCCTCCACCACTTCTTTGTTGAGGTCATTATATTTTCCAACCCGAGTACTTGTTGCCCCTGAGTACTTGTTTCCTGCGTCTCAAACAGCCTGTCCCTGTCTACTCTATCAGTTCCTCTATTATGTCTCCTCTGGTCCTTCTGTCCTTGAAGGTCTTTAGATTCATTTCCTTAAGCCTTTCCCCATACCTTGTACCCCGTTAGCTCTGGATCTAGTCTCACTGCATGCTTCTGCACATTTTCTAGTTTCTTAACATACTTCCTCATGTGTTGGCTCCATACTGGTGCTACAAACTCCAAAATGGGCCTGTCATATGTTGAAATGACTTTGTTGAGATTCCTGAAGGCCATTCTCAGATTTTCCAGGTGCACATTACTGTAGAGGTTATTCAGTCTATGTGCTGTCTCTGTCTTCAGCCTCTGTACCCTGAGTCTATACTCTGAGTCCAGTCTTCTGGCCTATTTCCCAGTCTTCATAACCTTGAATTTGCTGGGGTTGAATTCAAGCAACCACTTATCTGACCAACTTTGTAGCTTGTCCAGATCCTTTTGTAGCCTTTTCCCAACCTCCTCTATCTGCATTCTCTTCTTTAGTTTTACAGAAACAGTGCTGCCCCTAATATTGATCTTTGTGGTACACCACATTACTCTTCCCCATTCTGACATCTCATCCCAGACAATCACTCTCTTGTTATGGTCATGTGCAAATTTGAGATTAGGCCCTTAAGCACCTACCATGTATGCATTATATCATTTTCTCTCTCTCTCTCTCCTCTGCTCCAACGAGTAATCACCTATATGTGGTTGCAGGGGCCGAGTCACAACTCCTGGCCCTGTCTCTTTGCTGGTCTCTACTAGGTTCATTTTCTCCCAGCTCCAAGAATCATATCATACCTCTTCTTAAAGCTATGTATGAATCCTGCCTCTACTACTTCACTCTCTTGATTCTTCCACTTCCTGACAACTCTAAGGCTCAAGAAATACTTCCTAACATCCCTATGACTCATTTAAGTTTTCAACTTCCAGTTGTCCCCTTGTTCCTGTGTCTCATCTTTGAAACATTCTGTCGCTGTTCATTTTGTCATTTCCTCTCAGCATTTTATATGTTATCATGTCCCCCATTCCTCTGTCCTCCAGTGTCATCAGGTTGAGTTTCCTTAACCTCTCCTCATAGGACATAACTATTAGCTCCAGGGCTAGTTTTGTTGGAAACATTTGTGCACCTTCTCTAGTTTCTAGATGTGCTTGACCAGATGTGGGCCTGATGTACACGGTATACAGTGTCGTGAATGATTCCTCACTTAGATGTCGATATGCTCTTCTAAGGTTTACCAGGCACCCATATGCTGCAGCAGTTATTTGGTTAATGTGCAGCTCAGGAAATGTGCTCAGTATAGTACTCATGCCAAGATTTTTTTTCTTGAGTGAGGTTTGCAGTCTTTGAACCCTGAGCCTGTACTCCTTCTTTGGTCTTCTTTGTCATGTTTAAATGTGTTACTGGCTTTATGCAGGCACAAATGATCTTTGAATTTGTTATATCTCTGATATCTCTCCTACCCTGAATGTAGGCATTAACAATGAACAATAGTAATGCCTCATTGACATTATTTTCCTTGTTCTGAAAGTTCACATTATTGACCCTGTCATTTTCCTAGCAGTCATGACATTTGCCTTACTGTATGCTTTGAAAGTAAGGTCAGCTGACATTATTACTCCAGGTCATTTACATGTTCCTTTCATCCTATTTGGTGATCATCTTCCACTTTGCACTTTTGGGTTCTTCATTCTCTCCATATCTAAGCAGATCAAGTTGTCTCTTTGAATGTCATGTTAATCTCCAATGCCTACTGAAAAATTTTGCTTATAACTTTTGACAATTTTTGTCTTGTACGAGTGTGATTTTCATGTCTATTTCAGTATCATCTGCAAATGATGACATGAAACTGGTGAGTGTTTTTTATCTATGTCTACCATGAGGATAAGTAACAGTAAAGGCATCATGACTGCGCCTTGGGGTACTGAGCCTTTTACTTGAATAATGCTGGATTTTGCTCACTGTACTACTACTTGTTGTGTAACATCTATACAATGTCACACCCATTGTCCTCATTTTGTGTGCAATCACCTCATGATCACATTTGTCAAATGCCTTTGCTTTAATGATTTTGGCTTAAATTTGTTTTAAAACATCAGCTGTCTCTCACTGGGGCAGGGTGACCCAAAAAGAAAGAAAAATACTTTCATCACCATTCAACACTTTCACCATCACTCATACATAATCACTGTCTTTGCAGAGGCGCTCAAATACGACAGTTTAGATATCCCTCCAAACTGCCAATATCCCAAGCACCTCCTTTAAAGTGCAGGACTCAAGTCTAGCAAACCAGTTTCCCTGAATCCCTTCACAAAACATTACTCTGTTCACACTCCAACAGCTTGCCAGGACCCAAAAACCAATATTAATTTTGCTCTTATTCTAGAAGACATATCCTACACTTCAACTGTGCCTCTCAGAGTTATGAGAACTGTGAATGCCACACACACACTTTTACATACAATAAACTGCAATTATGCAGTTCCCATGACTTTTATATGCTACATGATAGAACATGACGTACATGATAGAACATTTAGTGTTTTCTCAACCTTCAGTATTACTCAAATTTCAGTGTCAGGAGAAAGCTCCTGGTTGGAATGTGTTAGGAATTCAGCTGCATGAAACACCATCTAATACATTTTTTTTTTTTTTTTTAACAAGTTGGCCGTCTCCCACCGAGGCAGGGCGGCCCAAAAAGAAAATCCCCAAAAAGAAAATACTTTCATCCTTCAACTCTTTCACCTCACTCACACATAATCACTGTTTTTGCAGAGGTGCTCAGAACACAACAACTTAGAAGCATATACGTATAAAGATACACAACATATCCCTCCAAACTGTCAATATCCCGAACCCCTCCTATAGAGTACAGGTATTGTACTTCCCATTTCCAGAGCTCAATATTACCCTGCTCACACTCCAACAGATCATCAGGTCCCAAATACCATTCGTCTCCATTCATTCCTATCAAACACGTTCACGCACACCTGCTGGAAGTCCAAGACCCTCGCCCACAAAACCTCCCTTACCCCTTCCTTCCAACCTTTTCGAGGACAACCCCTACTCCGCCTCCCTTTCCCTAGAGATTTAAATGCTCTCCATGTCATTCTACTTTGATCCATTCTCTCTAAATGACCAAACCACCTCAACAACCCTTCTTCAGCCCTCTGACTAATACTTTTATTAACTCCAAACCTTCTCCTAATTTCCACACCGCGAATTTTCTGTATAATATTTACACCACACATTGCCCTTAGACAAGACATCTCCACTGCCTCCAACCGCCTCCTCGCTGCTGCATTCACAACCCAAGTTTCACACCCATATAAGAGTGTTGGTACTACTATACTTTTATACAATCCCTTCTTTGCCTCCATAGATAATGTGTTTTGTCTTAACATATACCTCAATGCACTACTCACCTTTTTTCCCTCATCAATTCTATGATTAACCTCATCCTTCATAAATCCATCTGCCGACATGTCAACTCCCAAGTATCTGAAAACATTCACTTCTTCCATACTCCTCCTCCCGAATTTGATATCCAATTTTTCTATATCTAAATCATATGATACCCTCATCACCTTACTCTTTTCTATGTTCACTTTCAACTTTCTACCTTTACACACACTCCCAAACTCATCCACTAACCTTTGCAATTTTTCTTTAGAATCTCCCATAAGCACAGTATCATCAGCAAAAAGTAACTGTGTCAATTCCCATTTTGAATTTGATTCCCCATAATTTAATCCCACCCCCTCTCGAGAACACCCTAGCATTTACTTCTTTTACAACCCTATCTATAAACATATTAAACAACCATGATGACATTACACATCCCTGTCTAAGACCTACTTTTACCGGGAAGTATTTTCCCTCTCTTCTACACACCCTAACCTGAGCCTCACTATCCTCATAAAAACTACAGCATTTAGTAACTTACCACCTATTCCATATACTTGCAACATCTGCCACATTGCTCCTCTATCCACTCTATCATATGCCTTTTCTAAATCCATAAATGCAATAAAAACTTCCCTACCTTTATGTAAATACTGTTCACTTATATGCTTCAATGTAAACACTTGAAAAAACACTGTCTCTCTCAGAGTTCGGCCACGTCTCTCCCTAATACATATTTATAATAAATTCTATAAACTTGAAACAATGATACCTGGAGTGTCCCTGGAGAGAGTTCCGGGGGTCAACGGCCCCGCGGCCCGGTCTGTGACCAGGCCTCCTGGTGCATCAGAGCCTGATCAACCAGGCTGTTACTGCTGGTTGCACGCAATCCAACGTACGAGCCACAGCCCGGCTGGTCAGATACCGACTTTAGGTGTTTGTCCAGTGCCTGCTTGAAGACAACCAGGGGTCTATTGGTAATCCCCCTTATGTATGCTGGGAGGCAGTTGAACAGTCTCGGGCCCCTGACACTTATTGTATTCTCTCTTAACGTTCTAGAGACATCCCTGCTTTTCATTGGGGGGATATTGCATCATCTGCCGAGTCTTTTGCTTTCATTGCGAGTGATTTTCGTGTGCAAGTTCGGTACTAGTCCCTCTAGGATTTTCCAGGTTTATATAATCATGTATCTCTCCCGCCTGCATTCCAGGAAGTACTGGTTCGGGAAATTCAAGCGCTCCCAGTAATTGAGGTGTTTTATCTCCGTTATGCGCGCCGTGAAGGTTCTCTGTACATTTTCTAAGTCAGCAATTTCACCTGCCTTGAAAGGTGCTGTTTGTGTGCAGCAATATTCCAGCCTAGATAGAACAAGTGACCTGAAGAGTATCATCATGGGCTTGGCATCCCTAGTTTTGAAGGTTCTCACTATCCGTCCTATCATTTTTCTAGCAGATGCGATTGATACAATGTTATGGTCCTTGAAGGTGAGATCCTCTGACGTGATCACTCCCAGGTCTTTGATGTTGGTTTTTCGCTCTATTTTGTGGAAGGAATTTGTTTTGTACTCTGATGACGTTTTTATTTCCTCATGTTTACCATATCTGAGTAATTGAAATTTCTCATCATTGAACTTCATATTGTTTTCTGGAGTCCACTGAAAGATTTGGTTGATGTCTGCCTGGAGCCTTGCAGTATGCAATGGAAGACACTGTCATGCAGATTCGGGTGTCATCTGCAAAGGAAGACATGGTGCTGTGGCTGACATCCTTGTCTATGTCAGATATGAGGATGAGAAACAAGATGGGAGCGAGTACTGTGCCTTGTGGAACAGAGCTTTTCACAGTAGCCGCCTCAGACTTTACTCTGTTGACTACTACTCTTTGTGTTCTGTCTGTGAGGAAATTATAGATCCATTTACCAACTTTTCCTGTTATTCCTTTAGCACGCATTTTGTGCGCTATTACACCACGGTCACACTTGTCAAAGGCTTTGGTAAAATCTGTATATATTACATCTGCATTCTTTTTGTCTTCTACTGCATCTAGGACCTTGTCGTAGTGATCCAGTAGCTGAGACAGACAGGAGCGACCTGCTCTAAACCCATGTTGCCCTGGGCTGTGTAATTGATGGGTATCTAGATGGGTGGCGAACTTGCTTCTTAGGACCCTTTTAAAGATTTTTATGATATGGGATGTTAGTGCTATCGGTCTGTAGTTCTTTGCTATTGCTTTACTGCCCCCTTGGTGGAGTGGGGCTATGTCTGTTGTTTTTAGTAACTGTGGGACAACCCCCATGTCCATGCTCCCTCTCCATACCTGGAGTTTACCTGGAGAGAGTTCTGGGGGTCAACGCCCCCGTGGCCCGGTCTGTGACCAGGCCTCCTGGTGGATCAGAGCCTGATCAACCAGGCTGTTGCTGCTGGCTGCACACAAACCAACGTACGAGCCACAGCCCGGCTGGTCAGGAACCGACTTTAGGTGCTTGTCCAGTACCAGCTTGAAGACTGCCAGGGGTCTGTTGGTAATCCCCCTTATGTATGCTGGGAGGCAGTTGAACAGTCTCGGGCCCCTGACACTTTTTATATGGTCTCTTAACGTGCTAGTGACACCCCTGCTTTTCATTGGGGGGATGTTGCATCGTCTGCCAAGTCTTTTGCTTTCGTAGTGAGTGATTTTCGTGTGCAAGTTCGGTACTAGTCCCTCTAGGATTTTCCAGGTGTATATAATCATGTATCTCTCCCGCCTGCGTTCCAGGGAATACAGGTTCAGGAACCTCAAGCGCTCCCAGTAACTGAGGTGTTTTATCTCCGTTATACGTGCCGTGAAGGTTCTCTGTACATTTTCTAGGTCAGCAATTTCACCTGCCTTGAAAGGTGCTGTTAGTGTGCAGCAATATTCCAGCCTAGATAGAACAAGTGACCTGAAGAGTGTCATCATGGGCTTGGCCTCCCTAGTTTTGAAGCTTCTCATTATCCATCCTGTCATTTTTCTAGCAGATGCGATTGATACAATGTTATGGTCCTTGAAGGAGAGATCCTCCGACATGATCACTCCCAGGTCTTTGACGTTGGTGTTTCGCTCTATTTTGTGGCCAGAATTTGTTTTGTACTCTGGATGGTAAAAGCTCGTGAAAGGGGCTTCTTGCAGTTCTTGATGAACACGGAGTTCCATGAGTCTGGCCCTGGGGCAGAGTGCATGGGCATGTCATTTATCACATGTTCGAAGTCATTTGGTGTCAGGATAATATCAGATAGGCTTGTGTTAACCAAATTCTGTGGCTCTCTCATAAAAAATTCATTTTGATCTTCGACTCTCAGTCTGGTTAGCGGCTTGCTAAAAACTGAGTCATATTGGGACTTGAGTAGCTCACTCATTTCATTGCTGTCATCTGTGTAGGACCCATCTTGTTTAAGTAGGGGCCCAATACCAGATGTTGTTCTCGACTTTGATTTGGCATAAGAAAAGAAATACTTTGGGTTTCTTTCGATTTCATTTATGGCTTTTAGTTCTTCCTGTGATTCCTGACTCCTATAAGATTCCTTTAGCTTAAGTTCGATGTTTGCTATTTCTCTGACCAGTGACTCCCTATGCATTTCAGATATATTGGCCTCTTTTAGCTGCTCTGTTATTCTTTTCTGTCGCTTGTAAAGGGAGCGCCTGTCTCTTTCTATTTTACATCTTCTCCTCTTTTTTCTTAAAGGAATAAGCCTTGAACATACATCGAGTGCCACTGAGTTAATTTGTTCTAGGCATAAGTTGGGGTCTGTGTTGCTTAGTCTATCTTCCCAGCTTATATTGTTTAGGACTTGATTTACTTGGTCCCACTTTATGTTCTTGTTATTGAAGTTGAATTTGGTGAAGGTTCCCTTGTGACTAATCTCATTTGTCGGTCTGGGGCTCCGCAAATACATGTCTGAACCTCGATTATCTTGTGATCTGAGTATATTGTTTTTGATATGGTGACATTTCGTATCAGATCATCATTGTCTGTGAAGATGAGGTCTAGTGTATTCTCCAGTCTAGTAGGCTCTATTATTTGCTGGTTTAAGTTGAATTTTGTACAGAGATTTAAAAGCTCGTGTGTGTGTGAGTTCTCATCAGAGCTGCCTCCTGGTGTTATCACTGCGACAGCATTATTTGCTATATTCCTCCATTTTAGGTGCCTCAAGCTGAAATCCCCCAGGAGCAAGATGTTTGGGGCAGGAGCTGGCAGATTTTCCAGACAGTGGTCAATTTTTGACAGCTGTTCCTGGAATTGCTGGGACGTTGCATCTGAAGGCTTGTAGACTACCACAATGCCTAGGTTTTGGTTCTTGATCTTTACTGCTAAAAGTTCCACTACATCATTTGAGGCATTAAGCAGTTCTGTGCAAACAAGTGACTGCGATATACAGGCCAACCCCCCCCCCCATCCTTTTGCCTGTTCATTCTGTCACATCTGAAGGTTGTAACCTGGGATCCATATTTCGTTGTCCAAGTGATCTTTTATGTGGGTCTCTGTGAAAGCAGCAAATATTGCATTTGCCTCTGCAAGCAGTCCACGGATGAAAGGTATTTTGTTGTTCGTTGCTGGCTTTAGACCCTGTATATTTGCAAAGAAGAATGTCATCGGCCTGGTGGTATTGGTGGTACTGGGGGAGACTTTTTTTCCAGCACTAGTATCTGTATCTGTTGGTTTGGACTGGAGGCCATCAACTGTGATTCCAGTCCAGAAATGACTGGATTTGGCGTATGATTTCCGCCATTTCCTGCCAGTTTTTTTTTTCCTTCCTGGCACTAAAAAACCTCTCCCTCTTGAGTGGCTGTGGCTACCCAGGTTTTCCCATGGCCTGGATGTTTTGTATCTTTTTGTCCCCTTTAGATGGTATGCCTGGCAATTTAAGTTATAGCACAGTCTTTCCTGTACTGAAGAAGGACACATTTCAGGATGAAAAAGCTTACAGGAAGTGAGTTTGCATTTTCCAGTTGTCATATGGGAATGACATTTTCTAGGATGGTGATAGTTGCACGTCCCATCTGTTTTTCCAGATTTCCCATGCCTACAGATACCAAGTGCATAGTATGTGCAGAGGCTTGGTTTCTGTTTGCCTTGGGTTTCTGTGACTGTATTCCCTGTTGGTGCATGTTTACCTGTCTCATTCCTATCCTCACTAGTACTAACAATGGAGCTCTCACCAGTTGTTTCTGGTAATATATCCTCACTATTGCTAGTGGAGTCCCTTGTTTGCCATCTCCTGTGGTATTACTAGTTTGTAATATTGGTTTTATTTTGTCCTTGACTACACTTGTTTCCCCACTACAGCTCCTGTCTCCCTCGAGGTCATTTATATGCATTCCCTCATGCATACATTTACTGTCTCCCAGGACAGCACCTCCATCCTCACCATTACAAGTACACATTCAAAAATGTAAATGAAAAATGCATATAATTTAAAACAGTGGTGCAACATAAAAATGTATATTGCTAATATTTATATTAAATTTCACTTACATTCTAAGGAAAAAATGCCTAAAATCATTCGTCCTATTTTTTGCCATAAATGTGTTATGATGAATTTTTCCTATTTTACTTAAATATCAACTGCTTTTACCTGACATAGTTCTGAAATTGTGCTCAGTTAATCGGATTTCTGCTTTGAAGGTTGCAGAAGAAGTGGGTTCCACTAGTGAGAAGTACTGGGCAATAATATCACCTCCCTTCAAGATTACATCAGGGCCAGTAACTTCAGAGCCTGCAAAATATATTTATTAATTTTAAACACATCATGTCAATACAATTCAGAGCCTGAAACTATTAACTTATTTATTTAAATATAAGGTATGTTCATACAACTTCTCATAATCTTCGAAGACATCTGATCTTGATTTTGAGTAAACAAAGAAAGCCGATGTGCTCTAAGAGATACTGTACACACACACACGTGATGATTACAAAATATATCTAGTTAGTATACATACTGTCTTCATGACAAAAGTTATGTACCAATTAAAGCACAAACTGGATTGTCTTCGTGTCTAAGGTAATGTATTTAATAATAAAACAATTTCCTTACATTTTAAGTTATGTTTTCAGTAACACCATATGGTACATTATTTTAAATGTTATCACAGCAAGAACTTTTGAAAATGAAACAAACTATATGTAAGTCATTACCCAAGTTTTAATTATACAGTAGACTATCTTAAGCCTTGTGATCACAGTACATATTTTCAATACAGTTATGCCTTGCCCTACATCATTAATTGGCTCCAAGAGCTGTGACATAACCCAGTTTTTGACATGACCAGGACAATGCCATTAAAATGTATTAACCCTTTGAGGGTCCATCCCATAGTTCTATGGCTTTGAAGCCTGGGTCCAAGCCGTAGTACTACGTCATAGGCTCAGCTCCCTCAGATAAGCTTTGAGTGGTAAATTTGGGCCTAGATATGACAGGATGCATCTATGTGGTAAGTGTGCACCATATAAAACAAATCCTGCAGCACATAGTGCATAATGAGAAATAAATGAGACTATGTTTTTGGATTAAAATAGCAACTTTATGGTGTATTTTCTTATGTTTTTTATGGTTTTATTCGCAGTTTCTTGGACTCACTTGATAGAATAGAAGACATACTTCAGAAATAGAGATGATATTGCTTGGTTTTAATACTGAAAATGGCTTGAAACTGAGCTTAAAGTAGCAGATATATTCAATTTTTGCCAATATGTTCAATTTTTGCCAATGTTCAAGAGTAAACAAATGACATCACGCGTCCAATACATGTCAACTGGTGGGTATAATGTACGTTCACAAATGTGCTCATATTATTTATACAATTATTACAATACTGCATAACAGCAAATCTTCTATTTTTTGGTGTGAATAAAAATTCATTATGTGAATTAAAAATGAAAATGGAATTCATTTGTAAAACCTGAAAACATAACTAATAAATAGAGAAAATGTTATTTTAGTGACAGAAATGACTGCATTGTTTATTCTGTACCCTACTTTGAAACCGGAATATTTTTAACTGTGTGAAAATGGCCAAATTACCAATTTCCTATCACTTTATTGGGTAGCTGAAATAGCTGATTGGGCAATTTCTTGTGCTCAATCAATAAAATAAAGTAATACTAGCAAAATAGCTAAAAGTTTGGTTGACTGGAATAATGTAATTGGCCTAAAATAGGAGTCAAAGTGGGCAAAATCGCCAATGTGTAAATATTGATGACACAGGAAAATTCGTGAGAGAATAATTTTCTGTTTTCCATCAAATTTTTTACTTTTTGTTTTATTACCTTCAGAAAAAGATTCTCTACCAATTCATAAGAAAAAAAATAACAAATTTTTTCTGAAAATTCTTGGACACTATGGACAAGTTTCAGATCGTGGGTCTGAACCCTGAAAGGATTAAAATGACGACAATCACTGTAAAACTAGCATAAAAAACTTGCAAAAGAATATAATTATCACTAAACCTTAAAGAATATTAAAAACACATTTTAGCCATTTTTTTAAAAGAATAATGAGCACACTTAAAAAAGCTGTGTCATTTACCTTGTGATTTGCCCTTAAAAATGCCTTAAGTATGACAAAAAACACCTCATAATTAGCACAAGCAACACGTGAAAAAATATAACTCTCATTAAGGCATTAAAAAATTTTAAGAATATTTTAGTTTTAATTTGAAATGAAAAATAAATAAAATTAATAAAATCATGTTATTTACCTTAAACCAATACTTTTCATCTTTTTTCATACCTTTTAATCATATTTAATTTATCTTCTACTGTAAAACCACATTATGCTTGGAATCTGTGGAGAAAATTTTCCAGTAAAAGGAAGGACGAGTCCATAGCCCCTTGCGGGAAGCTAAGTCTCTCAGAGGGCTGAAGGAGGCTGAGAGGGTCGAGAGATACCCCCCTCTGAGGGACTTAGCCCTCCCACAAGGGGCTAGTGGACTCTTCCTTCCTTTTACTGAGAATTTTCTCACAGAATCACTAGCACTATCCTTCTTAGGAGCCATGGCTAACACAGACATGGTAAAGGAATAATCACAAAAATAACAGCAAAAGACCAAACCAGAATATAATGATGGACATTCGTTTACAACTTTTCAAAGTAAATATTTTATTGTATATGTATATTTTTTATATTTTTAATTTGTATTAATGTATATTAATTTTTTTGCTTCTTTTATCTTTTATTGCTAATTTTTATGTTTTACAAGGAAAAATTTATTTATCTCAAGTCCTTTTATTATGACGTAAGTGACATAGCTGAGGGACATAGTGTCAGACATAATGATGTTCAGTGAAATGAAATTTACTCTAGAAAAGTGGTGTAAAGGCGAATTTGATGTAAACCAAAATGATGTAAAGTGGGGTATGACTATATACTTCAATTTAATTCAGTTTTTCATTTCCAGTAGATGTATGCCATTTCCATTAAGGTCCCCTGGAATGGAATTCATTTCCACTTGTGGTGCACAATTTTGTTAAGGAGCAGTACGGAAGCCAGGCTGGAGACCTCCCACTACACACTACGCAACTCCATGAGGGTCAGTTTAACTTGACATGTACCATGCTAGTTTTGGTCAATGCACATCACTTAGTTTTTTCCTCTTTTCACTGCCACATCTTATTTGTGGATATTCATTAAGCATCATATTGAAGTAAAAGTGACGCTGGTGAAGCAAGGAAGAAAATTTCGAAGTGAAACTATGCCTATTACAAAAAAACTGGAGGAAACTGAGATACTAAAAGATGGTGCATGCATCATGGAGACAGCGTGAGAGTTTGGTGCTTAGAGAACCAATGATTTAGTCAATTCAAGACAATGAGGTGAAGGTAAGGGCTTGTGCAATGAGTAATCATCTGTCACAATGAAAAGAATGCAGAATAGGTCATTACATTATATGATTATTTTGACTTTATAAGTAGTTAAAATAATTCATGTAACATTAACATAATTTTATATTAATTTTTACCTTTAGCTTTTCCCCAAACACTATGTACATAAGCCCATACAAATACTCTGCAAATAACTTATAGATATCAAATTTTTAATTAGTTTATAGGTTGTGTGTATTAATATATAGATTTGTGTACAACACTGTGTATTAGTAGTTGTTATATTTCTTTTTTGCTATTTAATCAGACATTTAGTTATTTATAAATAAATTACAAAATAATTTATCATTACCATCTTCACCACCAATGACCAGAAGAGAATACTTGAGATATCCTCCATAAGATGAAACATGGTTGCCAAGGTATGCAGCTGGGGCGGTGAAGTAGATCTGTCCTTCTGGGAAGAACTCTTCTACACCTTCCAAATCCTGCTGTATAAGGTCTCTGTAATATGTCGGTGGTTCAGCCAGTGAAGCAAAAGTGAGAGTTGTTCTGGAGAGAGAGGGTAGTCCATGTGCGTTAGGAGTTAGGGACGATTCCACAGCTACTACACCCCAAGCTGACATCTCATCCGCCTGACAGGAAATTAATACACTTGTATAACAATTACATTACAGAAATTGAATAACAGAGAAAAGATTGTTTGTATTTTTTTAAACATAATTTTTTATAAATGCACTGACCTTCAAGTCTGTATGTTCATTTGCTTTGTGTGGTCGTCTCATATTTTATTGGTAAAAACTGTTTAAAAATTTTGATAATTTATATAATACAGTGGGCCTTCAAATTTAGTAGTCCCTTTTCTGTATGCAAAACTATTGTTATTCTCTATAAAATGTATTTTTTTTTAATATTGTCGGGTGTCTGGAATGGTTAAATTGGATTTACATTATTTCTCATGGGAAACATTAACAAAAAATACATTTTACAGTGAATAACAATAGCTTTGCATACAGAAAAGGGACTACTAAATTCTTATTTTCTTATATATTATCTTTTATAGGTAATAGGTTGATAGACAGCATCCGCCCAGGGAGGTGCTACCGTACTGCCAAGTGAGTGTAAAACAGAAGCCTGTATTTGGTTTACATGATGGTAGGACTGCTGGTGTTTTTTGTTTTGTCTCAAACATGCATGATTTCAGGTACATCTTCCTAATTACACTTGAGTCACACTACACAAGCATGATTCTGTCTTAATAGTTGTTGTTCTTATTACTTTTCCTTTCATATCCATGGGGAAGTGGAATAAGAATCTTTCCTCCATAAACCAAGTGTGTTATAAAAGACAACTAAAATCCCAGGAGCAATGGGCTAGTAACCCCTTTTCCTGTAATGCCTACTAAAAAGAAAAAGACGAAAACCATCAAAGTGTGATGTTTGAATGTGTGTGGATTTTTTTTTTTTCCCCAACAAGTCGGCCATCTCCCACCGAGGCAGGATGTACAGCAAATAATAAGAAAGAGATGTTATGAATGAAAAGAAGATGGATGTCCTGGCTCTAAGTGAAACGAAGCTGATGGGGGTAGGAGAGTTTCAGTGGGGAGAAATAAATGGGGTTTCTAATAGCATTAGATGACTGTACACTGACATTCATTTATCCAAGAGAAGAAATGCCAGCATTAGATGACTGTACAATGACATTCACTTATCCAAGAGAAGAAATGCCAGCTGATCTAAGCTACATCAATCACCAGCTAAGAGCTATATCAGCTTGGGGAAATAGATGGCAAGTAACATTTGAACCTGAGAAAACGCAAATGATGATCGTCTCTAGGCACCATGATGGTAATGCTGGTGCGGTAGTAAGGATGAATGGGAGGGTGTTGGCACCTGGAGAAGAAGCTGATATCCTTGGGGTGAAATCTGACTCCAAACTAACCATGAAGAACCATGTTGTAAATCTAGCAAACAAGGCAGCCAGAAAGCTTACAGCACTTCGCCGTATCTCGCATCTGCTTGACAGTAGGGATTGCAAGATTCTGTACGAGGCAAAAGTACACTCACACCCTAAGTATGCTCCACTTTCTTGGTTTGCCTGCCCCCCCTTTCATCTGCGACTGCTTGACAGAGTGGAGAACAGAGCAAGACATCTCATCTCTTGCCTGGGCCCATCCTGGATAGATCTGTCATTTCAGCAGAGCCTTCAACACAGGAGAGATGTGGGTGGCCTTACTGATATGTACAAGGCCAATATTGTCATAGTATCACACTCGGATCCACTTCGAGGACAGCGTGAAACAAGCTTTTATACCACAAGACGGGCAGAGAGCAGCAACTTCACTCTGGCTGTACCCTTCTCCAGAACATCACTCCATCTGAGATCATATATACCCAGGATGACTCGAGTATGGAACACATTCGTACAGCATAATGATGTCAACAAGATAACGTCAGTTGATCAAATGAAAATGCTGGTCCACAGATGGCTCCAACTTCATCCTGTTCCCTACTTGTATGTCTCATAACAATAAAAATGCTTTCAAATGAGCTGATGTAGGTAACAGCTCTTAGCTTGTCAATAAAGTTAGGAATCCTTAACCTGTAAATAGCTTGTCAATAAAACTAGGGATCCTTAACTTTGTCAAACCCTGTGTAAAAAAAAAAAAAAAATAATGATGAAGAGTAAGTTATGGCAGGAAAAGAAGGAAGATAAATGTAAAAAATTAAGGATTATGTGGAGTAAAATAAGGGTTGTATGTGAAAAGTGGGTTATAGTAAGTGTTTATGTGCGTGAAGAAGAGAGGTGTAGAGGAGAGAGATTGAGTTTGCAAAATGTTGACTGAATGCATGAGAAGTTTTGAACCAAGCAAGAGAGTACTTGTGAAAGGGGATCTCAGTGATAAAGTGGGTAAAAATGTTGTAGAGGGAGTAGTAGGTAAACTGGGATGCCAGGGGTAAATGAAAATGGGAAGCCTTTAATTGAACTGTGCGTAGAAAGAGGTTTGGTAATAAGTAATACATATTTTATGAAAAAGAGGATAAATAAGAATACATGATATGATATAGCACGTAATGAAAGTAGCTTCTTTGATTATGTATTAGTGTATAAAAGGTTGATGGGTAGGCTTCAGGATGTACATGTTTACAGAAGGGCAATGGATATATTGGATCATTAAATAGTTATAGCTACAGTTAGAGTAAGAAGTAGATGGAACAAAAGGAAAATAGCAACAGTAAGTAAAACGTGAAAGTGTATAAACTAAGGGAGGAGGAAGTTAGGGTGAGATATAAGCAACTATTGGCAGAAAGGTTGGCTAGTGCAAATATGAGTAGGGATGGGGGGGGGGGGGGGTTGGAGAGGGATGAGATTTAAAAATGAAGTATTAGAATGTGGGACAGAAGTTTGTGGCTACAGGAGGATGGGTGCAGGAGGAAAGGGGAGTGATTGGTGGAATGACGAGGTAGAGAGGGCGGTAAAAGAGAAAAAGGTAGCTTATGACAGGTTTATACAAAGCAGAAGTGATATAAGATGGGCAGAGTATATGGAGAGTAAAAGAATTCAGAATAGGTCATTACATAATATGACTATTTTCACTTTATAAGCAGTAGGTTGGTAGACAGCAACCACCCAGGGAGGTACTACCGACCTGCCAAGTGAGTGTAAAATGAAAGCCTGTAATTGTTTTACATGATGGTAGGATTGCTGGTAACTTATGTCTGTCTCATAAATATGCAAGATTACAGGTACATCTTGCTACTTCTACTTACACTTAGGTCACACTACGCATACATGTACACGTTTATTTATACACACTCATCTGAGTTTTTTTTGATTGTATCTTAATAGCTCTTGGTCATATTACCTTTCCTTTTATATCCATGGGGAAGTGGAATAAGAATCTTTCCCCCATAAGCCATGCATGTTGTAAAAGTCAACTAAAATGCTGGGAACAATGTGCTAGTAGCACCTTTTCCTGTAATAATTACTAAAAAGAATAAGAAGAAAATTGTCAAAGTGGGATGTCTGAATGTGCGTGGATGTTGTGCGAATGATAAGAAAGAGATGATTGTGGATATTATGAATGAGAAGAAGCAGGATGTCCTGGCTTTAAGTGAAACAAAGCTGAAGAGGGTGGGTGAGTTTCAGTTGAGAGGAATAAATGGGATTAGGTCAGGGGTTTCAAACAGAGTTAGAACTAAAGAACGACTAGCAATAATGTTGAAGGATAAGCTATGGCAGGAAAAGAGGGATTATAAATGTATTACTTCAAGGATTATGTGGAGTAAACTAAAGGTTGGATGTGAAAAGTGGGTTATAGTAAGCATATATGCACCTTGAGAATAGAGAAGTGTAGAGGAGAGAGAGAGATTTTGGGAAATGTTGAGTGAATGCGTGGGGAGTTTTGAATCAAGTGTGAGAGTACTTGTGGTCGGGGATTTCAATGCTAAAGTGGGTAAAAATGTTGTGGAGGGAGTAGTAGGTAAATTTGGGGTGCCAGGGGTAAATGAAAATGGGGAGCCTTTAATTGAGCTACGTGTAGAAAGAAGTTTGGTAATATGTAATACATATTTATGAAAAAGAGGATAAATAAATATACAAGGTATGATATAGCACATAAAGAAAGAAGTTTGTTAGATAATGTATTGGTGGATAAAAGGTTGATGGGTAGGCTCCAGGATGTACATGTTTACAGAGGGCAACTGATATATCGGATCATTATTTAGTTGTAGCTACAGTTAGAGTAAGAGGTAGATGGGACAAGAGGAAAATGGCAACAACAAGTAAGAGGGAGGTGAAAGTGTATAAACTAAGGGAGGAGGAACCTCGGGTGAGATATAAGCAACTACTGGTGCAAGTATGAGTAGTGGGGGGGGGGGCTGAAGAGGGTTGGAATAGTTTTAAAAATGCAGTATTAGAATATGGGGCAGAAATTTGTGGTTATAAGAGGGTGGGTGCAGGAGGAAAGAGGAGTGAATGGTGGAATGATGAAGTAAAGGGTGTGATAAAAGAAAATAAGGTAGCTTATGAGAGGTTTTCACAAAGCAGAAGTGTTATAAGAAGAGTAGACTATATGGAGAGTAAAAGAAAGGTGAAGAGAGTGGTGAGAGTGCAAAAGGAGAGCAGATGATAGAGTGGGAGAGGCACTGTCAAGAAATCTTAATGAAAATAAGAAAAAAATTTGGAGTGAGTTAAACAAGTTAAGAAAGCCTAGAGAACGAATGGATTTGTCAGTTAAAAACAGAGTAGGAGAGTTAGTAGATGGGGAGATGGAGGTATTGGGCAGATGGCGAGAATATTTTAAGGAACTTTTAAATGTCGACGAAGAAAGGGAGGCGGTAATTTCATGCACTGGCCAGGGAGGTATACCATCTTTTAGGAGTGAAGAAGAACAGAATGTAAGTGTGGGGGAGGTACATGAGGCATTACGTAGAATGAAAGGGGGTAAAGTAGCTGGAACTGACCGGATCATGACAGAAATGTTAAAAGTGAATGTAGGAAAGAGATACATGATAAGGATAACAAAAAATTTAGGTAACAAAAGATTGGATATCAGACTGGAGGGAGTATAAAGGAAGTGAATGTATTCAGATATCTAGGAGTGGACTTGTCAGCAGATTGGTCTATGAAAGACGAGGTGAATCACTGAATAGATGAGGGAAAAAAGGTAAGTGGAACACTGAGGAGTCTATGGAGACAAAGAAAGTTATCCATAGAAGCGAAGAGGGTAATGTATAAGAGTATAGTGGTACTAATGCTCTTATATGGGTGTGAAGCAAGGGTGTTGAATGTTGCAACAACAAGAAGGCTGAAGGCAGGGGAGATGTCATGTCTGAAGGCAATGTGCAGTATGAATGTAATGCAGCAAATCCATAGCTTGGACATTAGGAAGTGGTGTGGGGTTTCTAAAAATCATTTTTCAGAGGGCAGAAAAGGGTTGTTGAGGAAGTTTGGACATTTAGAGAGGATGGAACAAAACTGAATGACTTGGAGGACATTTAAATCTGTAGTGGAAGGAAGGTAGGGTAGAGGTTATCCTAGAAAAGGTTAGAGGAAGGACATGTGTGAGAGGGGCTTGAACTTCCAGCAAGCGTTCATGAGTGTGTTAGATAGGAGTGGGTGGAGACTAATGGTTTTTATGACTTTAAAGTGATGTTGGAATGTGAGCAAAGTAACATTTATGAAGGGATTCAGGGAAACCAGTTAGTCGGACTTGAGTCCTGGAGGTGGGAAGTACAGTGCCTGTGCTCTGAAGGAGGGGTGTTGATATGTTGCAGTTTTTTAAACTGTTCTGTAGGCATGCCTCTAGTAAGACAGTGATAGAGTGAATGATGATGAAAGTGTTTCTTCTTTTTTGGGTCACCCTGCCTAGGTGGAAAACCGCTGATGCGTTAATAAAACAAAAATGTTCAAGAGTCCTTTCATGACTTTGCCATCTTCACAAGGGCTTTAGAAATGTAACCCCTCCAACAAGGAAACTTAACTATGCAATACTCATACACATACTGAAACTGATGTGTATCACCACATTACTTGTCTGGCGCATGCAAAATGAGCCTGTTCTTCACTCATCAAAAAAATGACCCCTAAATAATTACAGTACATGATTTCTTTAATAATTCAACTTTTCAAGGCATACCAATATACTTACATACCAATATAGTACTTACATATTTACTGAAATGATTTGAGGTACATCTTGCTACTTGTACTTACACTTAGGTCACACTACACATACATGTATAAGCATATATATATACACACCCCTCTGGGTTTTCTTCTATTTTCTTTCTGGTTCTTGTTCTTGTTTCTTTCCTCTTACCTCCATGGGGAAGTGGAACAGAATTCTTCGTCTGTAAGCTATGCGTGTTGTAAGAGGCGACTAAAATGCCGGGAGCAAGGAGCCAGTAACCCCTTCTCCTGTATAAATCACTAAATTTAAAAGAGAAACTTTTGTTTTTCTTTTTGGGCCACCCTGTCTCGGTGGGATACGGCCGGTTTGATGAAAAAAAAAATTACTGAAATATTTCATCATTATGACAGAACTGCAGAATTTCTTGATACAGTGATCCAAGAAGAAAACATCTAGGGCACTATTTAATTAACCTTTTCACCACACTGCATCACTTGTTTAGTTCCAGACAAGTGTTATATCTCCAGAAAAAACAAATAAGCTTCATTGATGTTCTTGTAATAGGAATAGGTCTTTAGGTTTCCATATATACAATCATTCTCTTTAAAATAAACTTAACACATGCCAAAAGATCATTTTATTATTTTCTATACTGATATATTAAGTATCTCAAGTATGGCTAAAAATAATCATACCATCATTTTTTTATTATAATACAAAAATACACAAGTTTATAATCATAATCTTTTTTGTATATAAATCAAATTTTAAGACAGATTTTCAAGTAGTTAATAGTTTTCACTCTGCCAGCCACATGGCAAAAGCTACTGGGTTCAAACTTCACATTTGTGAGATCTCAGCTCACAGTGCAGGATATTCAAAACAGTTTTGGTGGCACATAGGGTATGCATTTGTGACTTGTGTGTTTATAGGGCTAAGCAAGGCAGTAAATAAATGATAACTGAAAACAGAAGCAATGAAAATTATATTGTGTGAATAATAAAAAAAAATCATCGATGATAATAGTGAAAAATAAATACTGTATTATATTAATATTACACTGTCATACTTAAAATTTAACTGTGACCACATAAACATAACATTTATGAGGGTATTCATGAAAACTGGTGAGCCAGACTTGAGTTCAGGCTGTGGGAAGGCAGGGCAGGGATGTCGTAATTCAAGATCATTTGAACTCTGATGTCCCAGCACTAATGGCAAGACAGCTATTTAATAATGTGAATGCATTCCTTCAGTGTGTCACTTTACCGTGATGGGAAATTACAGATGCAGTAAAAAGTTAACAAAATATTAAAAGTTAAAACATACCCTTGGTGTTTGCCAGTATAAATCAGCTGAGGAGCAATAATCTGACTTGCCAAAACAGAAACACTTAGTACATCCATCAGGGTTACTTTCTTCCAAGTTGTATGAACCTGTCCGACATGTGTCACACGAACGCCCTTGCACGTTGATTTTGCAATAGCAGCTGGCATCATCCTGCATGAATGTTATAAAATAAGTGTTATAGCAAGGAACGAAATGTTACAGAAAAAGCTTTTATTTGGAAAATGTTGCCTTCTGCTGGAAGTCCAAGTCCCTGGCCCACAAAACCTCCTTTACCCCCTCCCTCCAACCTATTCAGGGATGACCCCTACCCCGCCTTCCTTCCCCAACAGATTTATACGCTCTCCAAGTCATTCTACTTTGTTTCATTCTTTCTAAATGACCAAACCACCTCAACAGCCCTCTGACTAATACTTTCAGTAACTACACACCTCCTCCTAATTTCCACACTACAAATTCTCTGCAAGATATTTACACCACACATTGCCTTTAGACACTGCCTCTAGCCGCCTTGTCGCTGCAGCATTTACAAGCCATGCTTCACATCCATATAAAAGTGTTGGTACCACTATACTCTAGTACATTGCGTTCTTTACCTCCACATTCTTTGTCTTCACAGATACCTCAATGCACCACTCGCCTTTTTCTCTTCATCAATTCTATGGTTTACTTCATCCTTCATAAACCCATCCACTGATAAGTCAACTCCCAAATATATGAAAACATTTACTTCTTCCATATTCCCTCTCTCCAATGTGATATCCAGTTATTCTTTATCTAAATTGTTTTACACCCTCATCACCTTACTCTTATCTACATTCACATTCAACTTCCTACTTTTACATACCTCCCCAAACTCGTCCACTAACCTTTGAAACCTTTCTTTAGAACACCCCGAAAGCACAGAATCATAAGCAAAAAGTACCTGTGTCAACTATTTGTAGTTGATCAATGGTTGGAGCACTAGTGGTAACAACGTAGATCTACTTTGGACAGTTAAGGGGTTAAAGTACATACAACAAATGTTAATTTTACACAAAATTAAAAAAATACCTATTTAAAAACAGAATGCAAAATAAACAATGTAAAGAACAATAAAGCACAATACCATGACTGGAACAGTATACAAATAACCTGCATATAGGAGAGAGGAGGTTCAAGTCAGACCGAAACATCATTGTAAGCTCCTCTCTCCTATGTGTGGGTTATTTGTGTAAACAATGTAAACATTATCTAAGAACATAAGAAAGGAAGAACACTGCAACAGGCCATTCTTTGCACTACAACCACATTTCCTCTATTCATCAGACATGGCCTCTCCTATATTACACTTGCCTTCCATTTTGAATTCTTATTCACAAAAAAATATGAAATTTACTCTATTTCTTAGATAATAAAATATAATTAGAAAACATTGGTTATGGTTTAGTGTCCTAATAATTTAATCAGACCTATTAAAAACCCATAAAACAGACTAGGGGGATGTGGGAGCCTCAGCCATCTTTTGGAATGCTGGCAAAAATCAAATATTTCTGCTAATCTGATCTCAATTTCAAGCAACTTCCAGTCCTAAACATCAATCAAAATCATCACTACTTTAGTAACTTGTCTTCCATTCTGTCAAGTGATACCAAGAAACAACCAATAAACCCATAAATATCATACAAGAAAAAAAAAAGCAAAGTTGCTAGTTTAAACCATATGCACAGTAACATTTGTTTTTCTTATCATGCACCACGTGGGGTAGGATATTTTTATATGGTACACACTCATTGCAGACCCATTCTCTCATACCTAGAGAAAAATTCACCGTTCACACCTTATCTGGTCATTGTAAAAGCAGTAGTAGTCATTAAAACAAGAAAGGCAAAAGGGGTGTGCAGTTGGCAGCTTGGAATCCTATCACCAAATGAGTGGGAAGCAGCTGAAAAGTGGAGGAAAAGAGATGGGGAAACAAAGGTTCTTGGCTTTTTGGTTGGTATTCAAAATTATGCTATGTGAACAGCCATTATAAAGTTCTCCACTTTATGTGGAATTAGGGACCGATGGCCTGAGTGAGCTTAGGTACAGCTCTCATGGTCCTGGAATGTATCTACTGCAAAAAGTGATGAACACCAGTATTCAGGAAAATTACTACCATTATAGTATGCTAGGCAAAAAAATAAAATAAATTAATTCACTAATTTTTGTCAGTTATCTTTATAAATTTGAAATAAAACAGGCTATTTTCCCTCTAAATTACTATTAGTGAATACTATACTGTGAAAGAAACACCACATTACTAACCTGGCTACATATATCTTCCTCAGTGCCCCTCAAGTCACAGTCACACAACTGACAGAATGGGAAAGACCAGTAGCCTGCAGCACACTGATCACATCTGACACAAAATTATTAATTAAATTCTGTGGAACAATTATCATTAGTAATAAGAATTTATTACAAAAAACTTAATTTCTAATACAACTGTATTACTATAAAACACTAATCTATTAAAATAAGCAAAGCTATAATTTTCAAGATTAAAATTACAGTACCATAAGAATGAGCAAGATATCACTCAAGATAGTAAAAAAATTTAAGATAATCACGATGGCTACTCTGAGGGGACTTGGGCTAGAGCACACCACAGCCATGCTGGTTTGGGATTTGACTGTAAAAGTCTGCCATTGTGGCCACAGTGGGGCACATGTTAACCCCTTGACTGTTGCAACCCCAAATCTTGAGGTGCCTCCTTGTGTCGTCAAAAAAAAAAAAAAAAAAAAAAAAAAAAAAAAAAAAAAAAAAAAAAAAAAAAAAAAAAAAATCTTATAAATGATAGAGAATCTTTTCCCGATGGTAATGACACCAAAAGAACGAAATTTGATGAAAAATGTATGGAATTATACTCTCACGAAGTTAGCGACCTCGGCGACATTTATGAATCAGCGATTTCGCTCACTTTGAGTCCTATTTTCGGCTAATTCCACTGTTCCAGTCGACTAAACTCATAGCTATTTCTTTAGACCTCCATTTGTTCTATTGACTGAGTGCAAGAAACTGCCCATTTACCGATTTTAACTACCCAATAACGTGGTGGTCAGAAATTTGCAATTTGGCCAATTTCACGAAAATTAAAAAATATGCCAATTATAAAATAGGGTCCAGAATGAACAAAGCAGACATTCTTGGCTCTAAAATAACATTTTCTTTGTTCATCAGTCATGTCTCCAGCCCCCTCTGTTATTATTCATGCTTTCTATTTTGAATTTTTATTCAAACAAAAAATAGAATATTTACTGTTATGCAGACTACTGCAATATTGTAATAATTATATAAATAATGTCAACCCATTCATGACTGCATATTAGAATGGCTAGTTGGACATTTATTGGACAATGACATCATTTGTTTACTTTTGAACATTGGCAAAAAAACATTTTCCCTACTTTGAGCTCCATTTCCAGGTTCTTTTTATAGTAAAATCAAGCAAAATCACCTCTATTTCTATAATATGTTTTCCATTCTATCAAATGAGACCAAGAAAACGAGAATACAACCATAAATACTATACAAAAATAGACCACAAAGTCGGCATATTAATTAAAAAAAAAAAGGAAGTTCGGGTGAGATATAAGCGACTATTGGCAGAAAGGTGGGCTAGTGCAAAGATGAGTAGTGGGGGGGTTGAAGAGGGTTGGAATAGTTTTAAAAATGCAGTATTAGAATGTGGGGCAGAAGTTTGTGGTTATAGGAGGGTGGGGGCAGGAGGAAAGAGGAGTGATTGGTGGAATGATGAAGTAAAGGGTGTGATAAAAGAGAAAAAGGTAGCTTATGAGAGGTTTTTACAAAGCAGAAGTGTTATAAGAAGAGCAGAGTATATGGAGAGTAAAAGAAAGGTAAAGAGAGTGGTGAGAGAGTGCAAAAGGAGAGCAGATGATAGAGTGGGAGAGGCACTGTCAAGAAATTTTAATGAAAATAAGAAAAAATTTTGGAGTGAGTTAAACAAGTTAAGAAAGCCTAGGGAAAGTATGGATTTGTCAGTTAAAAACAGAGTAGGGGAGTTAGTAGATGGGGAGATGGAGGTATTAGGTAGATGGCGAGAATATTTTGAGGAACTTTTAAATGTTAAGGAAGAAACAGAGGCAGTAATTTCATGCACTAGTCAGGGAGGTATACCATCTTTTAGGAGTGAAGAAGAGCATAATGTAAGTGTGGGGGAGGTACGTGAGGCATTACGTAAAATGAAAGGGGGTAAAGCAGCTGGAACTGATGGGATCATGACAGAAATGTTAAAAGCAGCGGGGGATATAGTGTTGGAGTGGTTGGTACTTTTGTTTAATAAATGTATGAAAGAGGGGAAGGTACCTAGGGATTGGCGGAGAGCATGTATAGTCCCTTTATATAAAGGGAAAGGGGACAAAAGAGACTAAAAATTATAGAGGAATAAGTTTACTGAGTATACCAGGAAAAGTGTACGGTAGGGTTATAATTGAAAGAATTAGAGGTAAGACAGAATGTAGGATTGCGGATGAGCAAGGAGGCTTCAGAGTGGGTAGGGGATGTGTAGATCAAGTGTTTACATTGAAGCATATATGTGAACAGTATTTAGATAAAGGTAGGGAAGTTTTTATTCCATTTATGGATTTAGAAAAGGCATATGACAGAGTGGATAGAGGAGCAATGTGGCAGATGTTGCAAGTATATGGAATAGGTGGTAAGTTATTAAATGCTGTAAAGAGTTTTTATGAGGATAGTGAGGCTCAGGTTAGGGTGTGTAGAAGAGAGGGAGACTACTTCCCGGTAAAAGTAGGTCTTAGACAGGGATGTGTAATGTCACCATGGTTGTTTAATATATTTATAGATGGGGTTGTAAAGGAAGTAAATGCTAGGGTGTTCAGGAGAGGGGTGGGATTAAATTTTGGGGAATCAGATTCAAAATGGGAATTGACACAGTTACTTTTTGCTGATGATACTGTGCTTATGGGAGATTCTAAAGAAAAATTGCAAAGGTTAGTGGATGAGTTTGGGAATGTGTGTAAAGGTAGAAAGTTGAAAGTGAACATAGAAAAGAGTAAGGTGATGAGAGTGTCAAATGATTTAGATAAAGAAAAATTGGATATCAAATTGGGGAGGAGGAGTATGGAAGAAGTGAATGTTTTCAGATACTTGGGAGTTGACGTGTCGGCGGATGGATTTATGAAGGATGAGGTTAATCATAGAATTGATGAGGGAAAAAAGGTGAGTGGAGTGTTGAGGTATATGTGGAGTCAAAAAACGTTATCTATGGAGGCAAAGAAGGGAATTTATGAAAGTATAGTAGTACCAACACTCTTATATGGGTGTGAAGCTTGGGTGGTAAATGCAGAAGCAAGGAGACGGTTGGAGGCAGTGGAGATGTCCTGTTTAAGGGCAATGTGTGGTGTAAATATTATGCAGAAAATTTGGAGTGTGGAAATTAGGAAAAGGTGTGGAGTTAATAAAAGTATTAGTCAGAGGGCAGAAGAGGGGTTGTTGAGGTGGTTTGGTCATTTAGAGAGAATGGATCAAAGTAGAATGACATGGAAAGCATATAAATCTATAGGGGAAGGAAGGCGGGGTAGGGGTTGTCCTCAAAAGGGTTGGAGAGAGGGGGTAAAGGAGGTTTTGTGGGCAAGGGGCTTGGACTTCCAGCAAGTGTTCGTGAGCGTGTAAGATAGGAGTGAATGGAGACGAATGGTACTTAGGACCTGACGATCTGTTGGAGTGTGAGCAGGGAATTCAGGGAAACCGGAGCAGGGGATTCAGGGAAACCGGTTATTTTCATATAGTCGGACTTGAATCCTGGAAATGGGAAGTACAATGCCTGCACTTTAAAGGAGGGGTTTGGGATATTGGCAGTTTGGAGGGACATGTTGTGTATCTTTATATGTGTATGCTTCTAAACTGTTATATTCTGAGCTCCTCTGCAAAAACAGTGATAATGTGCTAGTGTGGTGAAAGTGTTGAATGATGATGAAAGTATTTTCTTTTTGGGGATTTTCTTTCTTTTTTGGGTCACCCTGCCTCGGTGGGAGACGGCCAACTTGTTGAAAAAAAAAAAATTAAAAAGTTTGTTTAATTCAAACATTGGCTCAGAGACAAGCTTGTACACCTCATGGTGGGTTACAAGACCAAACTCATCCTAACAGCGGGTGAGAGGGTCTAGAGGAAGTGTCTCATAGCAGCAGTCACTTGGGTATGCAAAACCATCAAGGAGATTCAAGGCACCGTCTACCTTACAAAAATCTTTTGCACACCTACTGCTATATAACCTTCACACATAAAGTCTTGCCCACATGACACCTTTGATCTGGCCTCCAGCATCCATATCTTCACTGACTAATGACATAACTTCTCTCATAGCCATCATCCAGAAAGTATATTATGGAATATTTTTTTTTCCTGTAAACTTGATAAAGCTCAATCCAAACTGAATAATCATCTAATACAAAGGTTTTGCACTATGTCTTTATATTCACTACTGATCCTACTTTAAGGTTATTACATAAATCTTTCATCATTGTTTTTGTTGTAACATTTACTTCATTAATCCAAGATTATCTTTTTAAAAATTTTAAATTATATTGCATTATTAAGTATTACATTTAAACATGATATACCATGATATACATTTTTTTTTCAACAAGCTGGCTATATCCCACCAAAGAAGAGTGGCTCAAAAAGAAAAAAAGAAGTTTCTCTTTTTAAGTTCAGTAATTTATACAGGAGAAGGGGTTACTAGCTCCTTGCTCCCAGCATTTTAGTTGCCTCTTACGACACACATGGGTTACGGAGGAAGAATTCTGTTCCACTTCTCCATGGAGAATTTACAATATATATACCTTTACATAACTTTCTGGTCTTATATCTAAAATATCTATCATTTAAATAGTTGATTTTGTTTAATAGGCTGATGGATATACAAATATTTAATTACATTTCTGTATTAGCTTATGTCTTGCCTAAAACACTGAGCATAAAACAGTATAATCTTTGTAAAATATCACTGTGTAACTTATTCTCACACCATCACAATTGCCTGTGATTTTTTATTAATAAAATATCTGATTTTGAATTTTGAATCTTTTGACATGCAGTCCATTCTAAATCATGAGAGGCATCAGAGAACAAAACATTTGATGTGTGGTGTAAATATTATGCAGAAAATTTGGAGTGCGGAAATTAAGAGAAGGTGTGGAGTTAATAAAAGTACAGTGGACCCCCGGATAACGATCAGCTCCCAACTCGACCAATTATGTAAGTTTATTTTTGTAAGTGCTTTTGTAGGTGTATTTTTAGGGGTCTGAAAAGGACTAATCTAATTCACAATATTTCTTATGGGAACAAATTCGGTCTATAACGGCACCCAAACAGACTTCTGGATTGAAATAATATCGTTATGCGGGGGTCCACTGTATTAAGTCAGAGGGCTGAAGAGGGGTTGTTGAGGTGGTTTGGTCATTTAGAGAGAATGGATCAGAGTAGAAGGACATGGAAAGCGTATAAATCTGAAGGGAAAGGAAGGCGAGGTAGGGGTCGTTCTCGAAAAGGTTGGAGGGAGAGGGTAAAGAAGGTTTTGTGGGTGAGGGGCTTGGACTTCCAGCAAGTGTGCATGAGTGTGTTAGATAGGAGTGAATGGAGATGAATGATATTTGGGACCTGACGAGCTGTTGGAGTGTGAGCAGGGTAACATTTAGTGAAGGGATTCAGGGAAACCGGTTATTTTATATAGCCGGACTTGAGTCCTGGAAATGGGAAGTATAAATTTACCTTCGGCCAACAATAGAATTTTTGCAGTTACATTGTCCACTTTGCAAGTCGCACTGCAGATTGCCAGCTTTAACACCAGGTGGAGAACACTGACACTCCTCACACCCAATAATAGGATCAAAGCCATAGGTATACAGTGCACACCGTTGACAACGATCACCTTCCACACGGGGTGGACAAATACATTCACCTACAAAAGAAATGTTGTGATTAGTATTTTCAAGAAGGCATTCTGCTGACATTATGCCATATATTACTTCTGGCAAATATTAATAAATTATTAATATTATTATTTTTTCTTTAATTTAATACACTGGCCATCTTTCACTAAAGCAGGATGACCCTACTTTTATTATTAATATTTTTGTAATAAATACCAATCCCTTATGAGTTATAAAATGCTACACAAATGTTAGCAAAATTTGTGCTCTAATCTCTGAATCAAATGTGAGTATGTCCAATATATAAACCATTACCTTAGTGTATTGAGCTTAATTCTCATCCAGGAAAACAACACATTTTCCCACTGAATTACATTTATAACAAACTATTTTAATTACAATTACACCTACCATCCGACTTACGACCAAGCTTGGTTCCGACCAACTGGTCGTAAGTCAAAATGGACGTAAGTCGAACCTTTGAAAATTGCCGACATACCTATATAAACTATCTACATAGTACTGTAATGTAATGTACAATCATTATTTCATTCTTTTTACCATAATTTACTTTTATTGCTATACTATTTTAATTATTTATGCACTGTATATAATGTATACATGGTAGTGAACTGTATTGTAAATTTTACATCGCATACAGTATCATATATTACTGCTATCTTTATGTTTTGTCGACACAGTGGAGTGGGAGAATACTACTGGTAGTGTCATCCTGCCAGAATGTAGTATAACCTATACCCGAAGTAAAGAGAAACAACTCTGGAACATGTGTAATACGAATATCCGGCTGGCTGGCTGGGTGGCCAGGTGAGTGGCTGGGTGGGTGGTTGGCTGACTGAATGTGGCTGTCTCTCTCTCTCTCTCACACACACAGGTACACGTAAGTAAAGTAATCATACATAGTATAAATTACCTAGGATAACCCAAAAATTCCAGACACAGTGCTATACAGTGGATCTGTGCTCCAGTGCCCTAAATTAATAATAATATTAATAATAATTATTATTATTATTACAATAATACATATGTACTAATAATAATAATATTATTATTAAACTATAATATAACAATCGTGTCCACTCATTACTTACCTTAAAATATCTGTAGTCTTAACGTAGAGTGAGAGGTGAGTAAACAAGATTAAATGAATAAACGAGAAAGAGAATGAGAGTAGAAGGTTCACGAGATATGTAAACAAACGTTGTTGTTGTTGTTGTTACCAACCTGGACACGAATGGTTTTTGTTCACTCTGTCAAGCCGACCAGAAAAACATCTCATATTTGTTAATTTATATGTTTATATGTTATGTAGCATGTTTATTATATAATTTTGAAAAAATCATAGATGGATTAAGCCAAATGTCTATATTAATGTTTTATACACATTTAATGTGCCTCAGTGATTATTATTGTGTTATTATCATTATTAATATGGCTTCTTCAAGACCAACTGCACTCTTAATGAGTGGCTCTGAGACAGACAAGCAGACAGAAAGACAGACACCCAGGTAGACAGAAAGACAGACACACAGGTAGACAGAAAGACAGACACACAGGTAGACAGAAAGACAGACACACAGGTAGACAGACACACACAGGTAGACAGAAAGACAGACACACAGGTAGACAGACACACAAGTAGACAGAAAGACAGACACACAGGTAGACAGACAGACACACAGGTAGACAGAAAGTCACACACAGGTAGACAGACAGACACACAGGTAGACAGAAAGACACACACAGGTAGACAGACACACTGGTAGACATAAAGGCAGACACACAGGTAGACAGAAAGACACACAGGTAGAAAGAAAGACAGACACAGAGGTAGACATAAAGACAGACACACAGGTAGACAGACAAACAGATGCACAGAGATACAGACAGACACAGATATACAGGCAGACAGATACAAGAGACAGGCTTATGTGCAACCGTGAAAACAAATAGAGTTGGAGAGTAAGAGCCTTTTTTGCCACAATTTCCAGTGCAAGATTCAGACTTCATCTTAGGGGCCATGGTGAAATTTACTGTCCAGTTAGTACAGTTAATACAGTATGATGCTGCTGATAGGACAGGGTTACTCAAACTGATGCTGCCTGCATGACGCATTTGCCGCCGCGAGTATTGTCAAATATTGTACAGTGGTGTGCATCAGCCGGCCCAGCCCAGCTGCCAGATGCACGGTTGTAAGTCGAGTGGACGTATGTCGAGCAGGTCGTAAGTTGGATGGTAGGTGTATTCCTATCATATATTAATACCCAAAAGTTTATTTTTCCTTCACAAAACATTACCTTGCTCACACTCCCACAGCTTGTCAGGTCCCAAAAACCATTTGTCTCCACTCCTACGTAACATGCTCACACATGCCTGCTTTATGTCCAAGCTCTTAGCACACAAAACCTCTTTTACCCCCTCCCACCATTCTTTCCTAGGATGACCCCTGCCCTGCCTTCCCTCCATTACTGATTTATACACCTTCCAAGTCATCCTATTTTGTTCCATCCTTTCTAATTAACCAAACCACCTCAACAACCCCTCAACAGCCCACTGGATAATAGTTTTATTAACTCCACACTTCCTCCTAATCTCTAAACTATGAATTTTCTGCATAATATTTACAGCATACATTGCCCTTAGACATGACATCACCACTGCCTAGTTAGTTTAATATCTTTATTATGAACCCCATACCCATCCTGTGGGCAGTAGTCAAAAGATTACAGAGGCACATAATGGGTCCAGGGACTGGGCCTCAAAGTTTTGATAGCTGAGCAAGTTACAAAGGTAATGAACTCACAATTTACAAAGGTAATGAAGTCACAATTTACAAAGGTAATGAACTCCAGGTAGGTCTGGTCACAATCATGACAAGTTACAAAGGTATTTACAGATTACAGAGGTACGTAATGGGTCCAGGGACTGGGCCCCCAAAGTTTTGATAGCTGACACCACTGCCTCCAACCTCCTATTCGCTGCAACATTCACAACCCATACTTCACACCCATGTAAGAGTTGGTACCACTATACACTCATATATTTCCATCTTTGACGCCATGGATAATGTTCTTTGTCCCCACAGACACCCGATTTGACTGATGGAGGTAGGAAGTACAGTGCTTGTACTCTAAAGGAGAGGTTTGGAATATCTGCTGTTTGGAGAAACATCTGAACTGTCGTATCTGTGCACTTCTGGCGAGGCAGTGATAGTGTGAATGATGGTGAAAGTATTTCATTTTTGGGTCACTGCCTCGGTGGGAGACGGACAGCATGTTAAAAAAAAAAAAAAAGTTTATTTTTACAAAATAAATGCACCCAAGCTGTCCTCACCTCACAGTTTTATGAAAAAAATTAACAAAATACTGTACTGAAAAAGTACTTAAGAGTACATCACAGCATGATGGTGTTATTGCTGAATAGAAGCGTTGTGATGGCACACAGACCAGCTAGATTGTTCTGCTGGCACCAGAGCTGGTTGAGGGTTGCACTAGCTCCAGGGGTCTATTAGATCCTACACATTGTACCTTGCCAACTATGCCTAGTATATATGCCCAGTGCTGTGAGATTAACTAATGGTATGCTCTAAATCTGTATTCTATGATGCATACATTTTGAATTGGCAAAAGACCTTGGTAAACCACCAAAATTAACTACAAATTAAACTTACAAAATTAACTTACAATGTTAAAGCACTCTTATTTTCCCACAGGCAAAAATTATAAACAAAAATCATGATGAGAAGAATTTTCCAACTACAATATTCTGTATCTAATGTCATTTACTTTTTCAAATTGAATTAAAAGCACTATGCAGTATTCAGAGGAGTCCCTCTCTTCCTTTCCTCTCTCTTTCTTCCCCTGTTACCCATTCCATCTCTCCTACTTCCTTACATTCCTTCCTCTCTTACATTCCCTCCCTCCTGTAATGGGAAGGAAAGGTGATGGAGTAAAGCAGGAACAGCAACAATGATACATGATAATATACACTTGGAAAATCCTAGAGGGATTAGTACCAAACTTACACAAGAAAAATCACTCCCTATGAAAGCAAAAGACTGGGCAGGAGATGCAACATTCCCCCAGTGAAAAGCAGAGGTGCCACGAGTACACTGAAAGAGAACACAATAAGTGTCCGGGGCCCAAAACTGTTCAACTTCCTCCCTGCATACATAAGGGGAATTACCAATAGACCCCTGGCTGTCTATAAGAAGGCACCAGACAGGCACTTAGTACCTGACCAACTGAGCTGTGGTTCGTATGTCAGTTTGCGTGCAGCCAGCAGTAACAGTTTGGTTGATCAGACCCTGATCCACCACAAGACCAGGTCTCAGACCAAGCCACTGGAGCATTGACCCCCAAAACCCTCTCCAGGTAAACTCCAGGTAATGACTACCTAACTCTCTCTCTCTCTCCCACTGCATGTGACACAGATCTTGAATTATGCTCTCTGACAAATGCTCACTGCTGTGTTTAGGGTATTTGGTGTCTGTGAGAAAGTAGTGGTGATAATTTTTGCAGCCCCAGGTTGTGTAGTGGGAATAGAGAGTGGTGGAGTATGGTGAATTGAGACTTGCACCTCAGCCACAGACTGACCACCTATCACCCCAACAAACAATTATTAACTGGTTCCAAAGTGCCGATATTGTAAATGTGAATGACTAAGTCAGATCATTGTAAGTCAGGAATCTACTAAGTCACCTGTAATTATTATACACTTACCAATATAGTTGCTTAGTCTCAACTGTCACTGTACACCATCATTTAATAATAAATATTACACTGTAACTCTTCAATGAACTCTTATTTCTATGTATAGCATTCAAATAGATTTTTTAAGAACAAGTTTAAATATGCATTTTCTCAATGATATTGTATTTTACAGAGCACAGCATCACGATTTGATAAATTAAACTTATGTTCTGATACACATCTCTAAGACAAAAACAAAACGCCATAAATCAGATTATTTCTTCTTCACAGTCTGATTATTTTTAATAAAGAAATGAGATGAATCAAAATATCGAAATATCGACTTGGATGACAGCCAATAAACTTACGCTTAACACTGACAAAACTACTATATTATGTTTGGTAGCAGAGCAGATGCACAAATTAACATTAAGATCGACAACACTCTAATTACCAGACATAATGAGGGCAAATTCCTAGGCTTATACCTTGACAACAACCTGAATTTCAGCACCCATATCCAACACATAACCAAAAAAGTATCCAAAACAGTTGGGATCCTCTCCAAGATACGATACTACATGCCGCAAAATGCCCTTCTCACACTATACCACTCACTTATTTATCCATACCTCACCTATGCTATTTGTGCTTGGGGATCAACTGCAGCAACACACCTAAAGCCAATAATAACCCAACAAAAAGCTGCAGTAAGAAAATCACTAAATCCCATCCCTGGCAACACACCCCCCCACTCTTCATAGATCTAAATTTACTCCCTGTTCAGTACATCCACACTTACTACTGTGCAATCTACATCTACAGGACCTTAAACTCCAATATCAACCTTGACCTAAAACGCTTTCTTGATAGTTGTGACAGAACCCACAGGCATAACACCAGACACAAACATCTCTACGACATTCCCCGTGTCCGACTAAACCTTTACAAAAATTCAATGTATGTCAAAGGCCCTAAAATCTGGAACACCCTACCTGAGAACTCTAGAACTGTAGACACATTCATCACCTTCAAAACTACCATTAGAAAACATCTTATCTCCCTGATACACCCCATCAACTAACTACACGAATACCACCTGGTGGTTCACACTTTCACTCACCCATTTGACCATAAACAGAAATATTAATCTCAATCTTAAAATAATGAATCCTATGATACTCCAATACTGAAACTATGTACTGCACCAAAACAAAAGCATTCACATTGCTAAACTCACAAACTAGTATTTAGTCACTTAGCCATAATACCAACTTACCTCATAATTTGTAATATTTTAAAATAAAGAATTAAACTAAGTCTGCCCGAAATGCCTAGCCATGCTAGGCGTTCTAGTGGTACACTCTGTAATCATTATTTAACTACATGTAAACCACACAACAACCAAATTCTGTAAATTCAACATTGTAATCTTTATAGAGAATAAACTTTGAATTTGAATTGAGTGGTAGAGGAGAGAAACAAAAAGAGAAGGCAACAAACCAGTAGCAGGATCACAGAGTGCTGTGGAGGGACAGTTGCAGGGTTTACAGTCAGGAAAACCAAAGAATCCTGTCTTGCAGCGGTTGCAATTGCGACCAATAACATTTGGATGACAAGGGCACTGTCCACCAAAGCTCTCACACTCAAAGCTTACAGAGCCATGGAAATCACATTGGCAAGGTAAGGCCCCACTGTTATATTCCATTGTCAGTTCAAATGCTGCATCCTTGCAGAAGCCTGTAAAATATCAACATTCTCTTAGTAACAAATTTGATGACATACAGTATAAAAAATGTTTTAACTAATGTATTTTTTTTTTTTTTAGCAAATCTGTGACCCTAACTTACTAAAATCATTAATTAACAATAAATAAAAAACTCAAAAAATTCAGCAATCATAAATGAAAGGTCCAAAGACGTATCTTAACTAACGCACTGTGCATTGTTTAGCAATTTCAACCAAATCAAATTACAATAATTAAAAATAAAATAAAAAAATGGCAAGCAAATAAGGAAGGAACATGACAATTTCAGAAGCCTGTATACTGGTGTGAGCTTTAATCAGGTCCAAGTTTGATGTCTTTGGCACTATTTTTTTTATACAAGATCTTCTTTGTTAGTAGGTTGGTAGAGAGCAACCACCCAGGGAGGTACTACCGTCCTGCCAAGTGAGTGTAAAACGAAAGCCTGTAATTGTTTTACATGATGGTAGGATTGCTGGTGTCTTTTGTCTGTCTCATAAATATGCAAGATTACAGGCATGTCTTGCTACTTCTACTTACACTTAGGTCACACTACACATACATGTACACATTTATTTATACACACTCATCTGAGTTTTCTTTGATTTTATCTTAATAGTTCTTGGTCTTATTACTTTTCCTTTTATATCCATGGGGAAGTGGAATAAGAATCTTTCCTCCGTAAGCCATGCGTGTTGTAAAAGTCAACTAAAATGCCGGGAACAATGGGCTAGTAACCCCTTTTCCTGTAAAGATTACTAAAAAGAATAAGAAGAAAATTGTCAAAGTGGGAAGTCTGAATGTGCGTGGATTTTGTACAAATGATAAGAAAGAGATGATTGTGGATGTTATGAATGAGAAGAAACTGGATGTCCTGGCTTTAAGTGAAACAAAGCTGAAGGGGGTGGGAGAGTTTCAATGGAGAGGAATAAATGGGATTAGGTCAGGGGTTTCAAATAGAGTTAGAGCTAAAGAAGGAGTAGCAATAATGTTGAAGGATAAGCTATGGCAGGAAAAGAGGGACTATAAATGTATTAATTCAAGGATTATGTGGAGTAAAATAAAGATTCGATGTGAAAAGTGGGTTACAGTAAGCGTGTATCCACCTGGAGAAGAGAGAAGTGTAGAGGAGAGAGAGAGTTTCTGGGAAATGTTGAGTGAATGTGTGGGGAGTTTTGAATCAAGTGTGAGAGTAATGGTGGTTGGGGATTTCAAGGGCTAAAGTGGGTAAAAATGTTATGGAGGGAGTAGTAGGTAAATTTGGGGTGCCAGGGGTAAATGTAAATGGGGAGCCTTTAATTGAGCTATGTGAAGAAAGAAATTTGGTAATAAGTAATACATATTTAATGAAAAAGAGGATAAATAAATATACAAGGTATGATGTAGCACGTAATGAAAGTAGTTTGTTAGATTATGTATTGGTGGATAAAAGGTTGATGGGTAGGCTCCAGGATGTACATGTTTATAGAGGGGCAACTGATATATCGGATCATTATTTAGTTGTAGCTACAGTTAGAGTAAGAGGTAGATGGGAAAAGAGGAAGGTGGCAACAACAAGTAAGAGGGAGGTGAAAGTGTATAAACTAAGGGAGGAGGAAGTTCGGGTGAGATATAAGCGACTATTGGCAGAAAGGTGGGCTAGTGCAAAGATGAGTAGTGGGGGGGGTTGAAAAGGGTTGGAATCGTTTTAAAAATGCAGTATTAGAATGTGGGGCAGAAGTTTGTGGTTATAGGAGGGTGGGGGCAGGAGGAAAGAGGAGTGATTGGTGGAATGATGAAGTAAAGGGTGTGATAAAAGAGAAAAAGGTAGCTTACGAGAGGTTTTTACAAAGAAGAAGTGTTATAAGAAAAGCAGAGTATATGGAGAGTAAAAGAAAGGTGAAGAGAGTGGTGAGAGAGTGCAAAAGGAGAGCAGATGAAAGAGTGGGAGAGGCACTGTCAAGAAATTTTAATGAAAATAAAAAAAAAATTTGGAGTGAGTTAAACAAGTTAAGAAAGCCTAGGGAAAGTATGGATTTGTCAGTTAAATACAGAGTAGGGGAGTTAGTAGATGAGGAGAGGGAGGTATTAGGTAGATGGCGAGAATATTTTGAGGAACTTTTAAATGTTGAGGAAGAAAGGGAGGCGGTAATTTCATGCACTGGCCAGGGAGGTATACCATCTTTTAGGAGTGAAGAAGAGCAGAATGTAAGTGTGGTGGAGGTACGTGAGGCATTACGTAAAATGAAAGGGGGTAAAGCAGCTGGAACTGATGGGATCATGACAGAAATGTTAAAAGCAGGGGGGGATATAGTGTTGCAATGGTTGGTAATTTTGTTTAATAAATGTATGAAAGAGAGGAAGGTACCTAGGGATTGGCGGAGAGCATGTATAGTCCCTTTATATAAAGGGAAAGGGGACAAAAGAGATTGTAAAAATTATAGAGGAATAAGTTTACTGAGTATACCAGGAAAAGTATACGGTAGGGTTATAATTGAAAGAATTAGAGGTAAGACAGAATGTAGAATTGTGGATGAGCAGGGAGGCTTCAGAGTGGGTAGGGGATGTGTAGATCAAGTGTTTACATTGAAGCATATATGTGAACAGCATTTAGATAAAGGTAGGGAAGTTTTTATTGCATTTATGGATTTAGAAAAGGCATATGATAGAGTGGATAGAGGAGCAATGTGGCAGATGTTGCAAGTATATGGAATAGGTGGTAAGTTACAAAATGCTGTAAAGAGCTTTTATGAGGATAGTGAGGCTCAGGTTAGGGTATGTAGAAGAGAGGGAGACTACTTCCCGGTAAAAGTAGGTCTTAGACATTGATGTGTAATGTCACCATGGTTGTTTAATATACTTATAGATGGGGTTGTAAAAGAAGTAAATGCTAGGGTGTTCGGGAGAGGGGTGGGATTAAATTATGGGGAATCAAATTCAAAATGGGAACTGACACAGTTACTTTTTGCTGATGATACTGTGCTTATGGGAGATTCTAAAGAAGAATTGCAAAGGTTAGTGAATGAGTTTGAGAATGTGTGTAAAGGTAGAAAATTGAAAGTGAACATAGAAAAGAGTAAGGTGATGAGGGTATCAAATGATTTAGATAAAGAAAAATTGGATATCAAATTGGGGAGGAGGAGTATGGAAGAAGTGAATGTTTTCAGATACTTGGGAGTTGATGTGTCAGAGGATGGGTTTATGAAGGATGAGGTTAATCATAGAACTGATGAGGGAAAAAAGGTGAGTGGTGCGTTGAGGTATATGTGGAGTCAAAAAACGTTATCTATGGAGGCAAAGAAGGGAATGTATGAAAGTATAGTAGTACCAACACTCTTATATGGATGTGAAGCTTGGGTGGTAAATGCAGCAGCGAGGAGACGGTTGGAGGCAGTGGAGATGTCGTGTCTAAGGGCAATCTGTGGTGTAAATATTATGCAGAAAATTCGGAGTGTGGAAATTAGGAGAAGGTGTGGAGTTAATAAAAGCATTAGTCAGAGGGCAGAAGAGGGGTTGTTGAGGTGGTTTGGTCATTTAGAGAGAATGGATCAAAGTAGAATGACATGGAAAGCATATAAATCTATAGGGGAAGGAAGGAGGGGTAGGGGTCGTCCTCGAAAGGGTTGGAAAGAGGGGGTAAAGGTTTTGTGGGCAAGGGGCTTGGACTTCCAGCAAGCGTGCATGAGCGTGTTAGATAGGAGTGAATGGAGACGAATGATACTTGGGACTGACGATCTGTTGGAGTGTGAGCAGGGTAATATTTAGTGAAGGGATTCAGGGAAACGGTTATTTTCATATAGTCGGACTTGAGTCCTGGAAATGGGAAGTACAATGCCTGCACTTTAAAGGAGGGGTTTGGGATATTGGCAGTTTGGAGGGATATGTTGTGTATCTTTATATGTGTATGCTCTAGACTGTTGTATTCTGAGCACCTCTGCAAAAGCAGTGATAATGTGTGAGTGTGGTGAAAGTGTTGAATGATGATGAAAGTATTTTCTTTTTGGGGATTTTCTTTCTTTTTTGGGTCACCCTGCCTCGGTGGGAGACGGCCGACTTGTTGAAAAAAAAAAAAAAAAAAAAAAGATCAAGTGCATTTTCCTACCTGGGTGGCTCTGTTATATGCTGGTTATAGGTGAATTTGATATAGAAACATGATAATTTGTTTATATGTGACTGTTCTTCTGAACTTCTTGGATTTTTCTGTTATTAGAGTACCTGCTAGAGTCTTCCATCTTGGATGCCTCAAATTCAAATCACAAAACAAGAATTTTGTTTGGCACTGGGTTTGAAAGGTTTTTCCAAGCTGTCCAAAAACAATTTATTAGCTGCTCTCTGAAGTGCTGAGAATTTCTATCTGATAGTTTGTTTACAATTATAATGATTTTCAATTTTCACTGCTAAAACTTAACTACATCATCAGTGTTGTTAAGAAGTTTAAGTAAGCAAATTTTAAACATACAGATCAAATATCCCTTGTGGCCTGTTTCTCCTTTTTTTTCTTCAGTCGCATGTAATTAGATTTTACCCAGGAGTCCACATTTCAATGTCAATGTAGTCTTTAATATGGGTCTCTGTAAAGGCTGCTTACACTGCATTAGAATCATTGAAGAGTCTATTCATAAAAAGACTTTTGTTGTTGCTGGGTTTAAGACCTTGCATGTTTATAAATATGAATGATATTACAGCATTTGCTTTCATGCCTGGATTCTTATTTTACCATTTGCTTGTATCCACAGTGACATATAGCAATTCAGTTTTAAAAATTACCCATATCATAGGATGAGTTTCCAAGGAGCCTCAGTGTCTTGCACTAAATTTAAGTAGCCTCTTTCAAGTCTACAATTGCCTTCATTATGATATTGGGTACAGGTGATAGGATTCCTATTAGTGATTCATGGAACCTCAACACACAATATAAATTTATGCAGAAAAAATAACCATTTTCTGTGGAAGGCTCTATGAACTACAGTGTTTGCTATCTTTCCTTGTCAACTTTTCCTCGCCAGACTGTTCTGAATAGTGTCCAGAGCCGGTGCTGTGAGTCAGCAAGGAGGAGAAGATGCGAATGTACACAGGAGAATAAAAAAAATTACAAACTAAGTGAAAAAGTAATTTAAGAGTCTATTAATTGTGTTACAGAGAGACATGATACCATTCCTAGTGTGTTATGAAACATGGACAGAAAAAGCAGTTTTTCATTCTTCAAAATGTTATATTATACATTTGGGAGAGAAACGGCATGGGAAAAGTGTAATTGTTATATGATACTGTAAAGGCTGTCTTCATGCTTCGTGGCGTGACAGCATGATAAAAGATAAAGATTTCATTTCTTTACAAAGGTTCCAATTACAATTTTGATTTGTTAAGTACAAAGAAAGCCACTATCAGGTCGGGGCATTTCGAATTTTGTTGTTACATCATGGACACTGCCATTGGGGTTTCACTACAAGGTCAGGGATACAAATTACCACCTGTCACAACAGCAACCAGTTTTTTAAACAGTCATCCATCTCAAATTTACAAGGGCCATGTAAATGAGTTGAAAAAGTCATCCATCTCGCATTTACAAGAGCCAGGTAACTGAGTTCATAAAGTGAACTATCTAGAAATCATTCAAGAGGTTTGGAATTTAACCCTTAAACTGTCCAAACGTAGATCTACGTTTTTTCAACATTTGAAAGTATGTAAAAAAAAGTAGTTTTTTTTTTTTTTTTTTTTTTTTACATTTGAAAATGTGTAAAAAAAACTTTGATCTACTTTTTTTTTTTGTTATATTTGAAAAATGTAAAAAAAAAAGTAGATCTACTTTTGGAGCACTACGCATGTGAAAGTAGATCTGCTTCGACAGTTTAAGGGTTAAATGCACTGGAAACCTAATTATTAAATTTTTAGTGTAAAGAATGACGATATGCCTAAAATCACTGTCTTTACTGAAACTGTTATTTAAAAAAATGTTTATATTATGGTAGTAGGTTGGAGACAGCAACCGCCCAGGGAGGTACTACCGTCCTGCCAAGTGAATGTAAAACAAAAGCCTGTAATTGTTTTACATGATAGTAGGATTGCTGGTGTTTTTTGTCTGTCTCATAAATATGCAAGATTACAGGTATGTCTTGCTACTTCTACTTACACTTAGGTCACACTACACATACATGTACATGTTTATTTATACACACTCATCTGATTTTATCTTAATAGTTCTTGGTCTTATTACTTTTCCTTTTATATCCATGGGGAAGTGGAATAAGAATCTTTCCTCCATAAGCTATGCATGTTGTAAGAGGCAACTAAAATGCCAGGAGCAAGGGGCTAGTAACCCCTTCTCCTGCATGAATTACTAAATTTAAAGAGAAACCGGCCGTATCTCACCCTGTCTCGGTGGGATATGGCCGGTTTGTCGAAAGAAAGAAGATATATTTATTTATTTAAGCAATCATTACTATGCAAACACTTATTAAAAAACAGTAGGAGAAATAAAGTTAAATTAAAAGATAAACAAGTCAGTTTTAAAAACTAGAAACTGGTATCGTACACACCGGTAGCGTTAGCATCAATGTTGAAGTTGTTTTGTCCACACTGACTGATAAATTCTGCAGTCATATCAAATGGAAGCTCTTGTAGAATTTCTTGAGTAAATTGTTGAGCTGGGACTACTAAAACATAATCCACCCAGATAGATTTATGATTTGGCTCCTAAAAGTTAAAAAAAATATAATACTTAGTGTCACTATATATTATATTATTTTAAAGAGGCATTATTTCCAAAAAGAAAATATAAAAATAAGTGCTGTTTCCCATTTGAAATTTTTGACAAACTAGGAGAATTTTGGTAACTATGCAATCAATGATTGGTATCCCTGTATCCTATAAGCCAGTCCTCAGAATACTTCAATATACACAAAAGGTAGAGTACAATGTGTGTAATAAATTTCTCATGCAGGTATCGGCACTGAAGATCTGACACCTATCAGAACATGTATTCACAAGTTTATGCAAGGAAATTTACAAGAGCCATGTAAATTTCTGCAATAAAAATGGAAAACATCCAAGCAGTTGACCCCAAATAACTTATTTCACAAACACTATGAGCAACTGCTTGTTACTACCATCTATAACTAAACAAACAAGAATCACAGAGACAAGTGCCTCATTACATCATCATATCTGCACCAATACTATATCCCCACTAAAAGCAGCGATAATCACAGACAACACTATGGACCACTACCCAACTTTTCTCATATCCAACTTAGTTAAGACTGCCTCAGGACATGACTAAGGTCTGCTTTTGACTATATGATGAGTCATCAGTTTGATTGCTTCCTTACATAACATTGACTGGCTAGGTGAGCAAGCAGACAGTCACGTTATTGATGAATATGAATATATAAAGGTAGAAAGTTGGAAGTAAACATAGAAAAGAGTAAGGTGATGAGGGTATCAAATGATTTAGATAAAGAAAAATTGGATATCAAATTGGGGAGGAGGAGTGTGGACGTGAATGTTTTCAGATATTTTGGAGTTGACGTGTCGGCGGATGGCTTTATGAAGGATAAGGTTAATAGAATTGATGTGGGAAAAAAGGCGAGTGGTGGGTTGAGGTATATGTGGAGAAAAAAAATTTATCTTTGGAGGCAAAGAAGGGAATGTATGAAAGTATAGTAGTACCAACACTCTTATATGGGTGTGAAGCTTGGGTTGTGAATGCAGCAATGAGGAGGCAGTTGGAGGTAGTGGAGATGTCCTGTCTAAGGGCAATGTGTGGTGTAAATATTATGCAGAAAATTCGGAGTGTGGAAATTAGGAGAAGGTGTGGAGTTAATAAAAGTATTAGTCAGAGGGCTGAAGAGGGGTTGTTGAGGTGGTTTGGTCATTTAGAGAGAATGGATCAAGGTAGAATGACATGGAGAGCGTATAAATCTCTAGGGGAAGGAAGGTGGGGTAGGGGTCGTCGTCAAAAACGTTGGAAGGAAGGGGTAATGGAGGTTTTGTGGGCGAGGGGCTTGGACTTCCAGCAGGAGTGCGTGAGTGTGTTCGATAGGAGTGAATGGAGACGAATGGTATTTGGGACCTGACGATCTGTTGGAGTGTGAGCAGGGTAATATTTAGTGAAGGGATTCAGGGAAACCAGTTATTTTTATATAGCTGGACTTGAGTCCTGGAAATGGCAAGTACAATGCCTGCACTTTAAAGGATGGGTTCGGGATATTGGCAGTTTGGAGGGATATGTTGTGTATCTTTATACGCATATACTTCTTAACTGTTGTTTTCTGAGCACCTCTGCAAAAACAGTGATTATGTGTGAGTGAGGTGAAAGTGTTGAATGATGATGAAAGTATTTTCTTTTTGGGGATTTTCTTTCTTTTTGGGTCACCCTGCCTCGGTGGGAGACGGCTGACTTGTTAAAAAAAAAAAAAAAAAAAAAAAAAAAATTCTACACAAACCCCAAAACCTCTAACAGTCATTGTCCAATGAAAATGAAGCAGATCTTAGCAGAGAGACTAAGCAGCCCTGGCTTATAAATAGTATATGTAAATCCATTGAAAAAAAAATCTGACAGGGCCTAATAACAAAAGAACTAACAAAATGATACACATCAATACTTACTAATCTGATATGGAAGTCCAAACAAATGTATTATGTAAACAGATTAAATGAAATAAAAGGTGATATGAAAAAAGACCTGGAAAACCCTCTCTGAAATTTTGGGCTCTAGAAAACTGTCTAGAAACAGAGAGATTAACTTAGTGAAACCAGACGAATCACACATACAGCCTATAGACACTGCCAACAAACTTAATGTCTTCTTTTCTACTATAGGATCAAAACTAGTAAGCAAAATACCAAATGCAAATACTCAGCCACAAGACTACCTCACTGGTAATTACCCACATACTTTATATCTAGCACCAACAAATCCTACTGAAGTCTCACTAATAATTACATCATAAAAACAAGGCAGGAGACCTAAATAACTTGCCACCAGTCATGTATAAAAAAGCAGCTCACGTGGTGTCCCTCATTATTGCAACACTATTTAACAACTCTCCTCAATCTTCAATATACCCATCCTTAATCAAGACAGCAAGGGTTACCCTGATCCTCAAAGGAGGCAATCCAACAGAACTAAGTAACAGACTGATATCTAACTTGCCTTTACTCTCTAAAATCTTTGAAAAAAATAATACATAAACAAATTACAGTGGTCCCTCGCTTTTCGTAGTTCTCGGCAATCGTAAATTTCGCCAATCATAGGGGTATTTTCGTATAAACATGGACTCGCTTTTCATAGGTTGACTCGTGAATAGTAGTTCGTCCGGGACAAGTACGCACGGTGTGAGCCGGGGAGGCCTCCCTACCCAGCCAGTCTGGCATTGTTTACCGGTGAGTGAAGGTCCCCTCAAGTGCTCCTATGAAATATTTCATAATATTCCACTCATTTTAGTGCTTTTAAGTACTAAATAAGCTACCATGGCTCCAAAGAAAGCTCCTAGTGCCAAGCCTGTGGTAAAGAAGGTGAGAAATATGTACAGTGACAAAGTCTTGGGCCATTTTAGGGAAGTGTTAAAGAGACGCCAGAAACAGAGCTCTCTCCACAGTTACTTTGCGAGACAGGACTAGAGTGACTCTCAAGGTGGTCCTAGTGGCATTAAGAAACAGAGAAGAGAAGCAACCCCAGAGAAGCAATTGGTACCTGAGGTGTTGCTGGAAGGGGATTCCCCTTCCAAACTTAAAACAATCCAATCTCTCTCCTCCTCCAGTCTCCCATACACTAAGAAGAATCTCCAATAAAGGTAAGTGTTATGCTGTTAATGTTTCATTCATCATTTCCCATTGTATTGTTTATGTACTACATGTATATTTCATGTAAAAAAAATTTTTGTTTTAATACTTCTGGGTGTCAGGAACGGATTAATTGTTTTTATTATTATTATTATCACACTGGCCGATTCCCACCAAGGCAGGGTGGCCCGAAAAAGAAAAACTTTCACCATCATTCACTCCATCACTGTCTTGCCAGAAGGGTGCTTTACACTACAGTTTTTAAACTGCAACATTAACACCCCTCCATCAAAGTGCAGGCACTGTACTTCCCATCTCCAGGACTCAAGTCCGGCCTGCCGGTTTCCCTGAACCCCTGAACGGATTAATTGTATTTACATTATTTCTTATGGGGAAAATTGATTCGCAAATCGTAAATTTCGTTTATAGTAGCTCCTCCAGGAACGGATTAATTACGAAAAATGAGGGACCACTGTACTTCTATCTCCTATCCCATAACATACTGAACCCCTGCCAGTTTGGGTTTAGGCTGAAAAAAAGCACAAATGATGCAATTATTCAAATGCACGAATTACTATATACAGCACTTGATACAATTAATATCCTCTGGAGCTCTTCATAGACCTACGGAAAGCATTTGATACAGTAGACAACAATATCTTGCACCTACAACTAGAGTATTATGGGGTCAGAGGACACTCCCTCAATTACCTAAAATTTTATCTTAGTAATAGACATCAGTATGTATGTACATATGACGTGACTTCCACTACTGAACCTGTGCAAGAATGGTATATAATACCGACAGGATGAAATTAAGACACATGTGCAACATCTGAGTATCTTTATTGTAGACGTTTCGCCATCCAGTGGCTTTATCAATACAAATTCTAGGACATAACTTGAAGACAGAAGGACTATATACAGAAGATGAGGTAATCAGTCCCTCAGCCTTGGAGTAGGTATGAAGAGCACCGTAGTCGTGGAGATTCTGAAGCAGATGCAAGGAGAAACATTATGGAATCTTGATTCTGAGAACGTGTACATAACCTTCACGACTACGACTACTTCTACTACAACTAACCCATCTCTTTGGGAAGGACCTACTTCCACTGGGGAATCCCGCCTACCAATGACTATGCCCTCGTCTGCTGCACCTGACATTACTATATAAGCGCCAGGCTCCTTGCTTCTGCTTCAGAATCTCCACGACTACAGTGCTCTTCACACCTACTCCAAGGTTGAGGGACTGATTACCTCATCTTCTGTATATAGTCCTTCTGTCTTCAAGTTATGTCCTAGAATTTGTATTGATAAAGCCACTGGATGGCGAAACGTCTACAATAAAGATACCCAGATGTTGCACGTGTCTTAATTTCATCACTACTCAACCTGTAGACGTTGGAGTGCGAAAGGGAAGTGTCCTAGGTCCTCTACTCTTTCTTATTTACATACATCAATGACCTCCCAAATGCATATCTACTCCTTTTAAACCAAATCTATTCTAGATATACCAAATCTGGCTATACTTAGTGACACTGTAAACAGTGAGCTACATAAAATATCAAACTGAATGACGACCAACAAATGCACTCTCAATATAGACAAAACCTAGTTCATGCTTTTTGGAAACAGAGCATTAAATATCCAGCTAAACATATCAATAAATGGTTCCTCCATTACAAGACACACTGAGGACAAATTTCTAGGTCTCCACCTTGAATGTAATCTTAAATTTCAGACCCACATCCAACATGTACAATGCCTGAACTCTAAATGAGGGGTTCGGGATATTAGCAGCTTGGAGGGATATGTTTGTGTATCTTTATAGGTATATGCTGGAAATATAAACACACATGCAGTATAATGTGATCCTTTATTGACTACGTTTCGCCCACACAGTGGGCTTT